CCGGCTCAGATCAGGCAGGCCAGCCATCTCTGCTTGGCACGGCTCCTCACTGAGATGTGCCACTTGCTTACCTTGACACGGGGCACCCCGGGGCCTGTGGACCAGCTTTCAATCCCACTCTCCCCACGGATCTCTGAGAGGGCTGGTAGCGTGGGGAGCCCCCAGCCAGCGTCAGGAGGGCAGGGAAGAGGAGCCCGCCCAGATCATCTCTCCACCACACCCTGGGCCTCGGCCCCAGGTAAACTCCCTGTTTCTGGGAGGCAGATATCATCTCTGTGGGCCTCTGTATGGAAGAACCCCTAACTGATTTCTGGTTGGGAGAGGGGAGCCTGGAGCGCTCTGGAGCTGCATTGAAGCTGCCGGAGAGCACTCCCAGAGGGCGCCGCAGGCGACCCGTGCTGGGGGGAGTCAAAGAGCAACTGTGTGCTGTGGGACCCTCCCCCGAGGAAAAATAAAATTTGGAAGAAAAATAAAAAGACAGCAGAGTTTGATCAACTTAGAGCTGAATATTCATCAGCTGGTGTAAAATAATAATAATAATAAAATAGAATGTAAATTGTTTCAGGAAATTAAAGAATATTTTTGGTCGACTTATATGATCATTCAAAAAATCTAATCTTATTTGATCCTCTTGAACTTTAAACATTTATCAGAATCACCCAGATGGCTTGTTATAAAGTATAAGTTTCTGGGTCCCTCCTCCAGACTTTCTGACTCTAGGTCTGGGATGGGGCCTGGAAGTTCGAAATTTTTGCAAGTTCCCAGGTGATGCCTATGCTGCTTTTCTGGGAACCACACTGTGAGAACCCCTGGTGTGGGGATTCCCAGTCTGTAAGTAGCGGACCACTCAGGGGCCAGCCATCTGTAGTAATTGTGAAGTGTCAGTCCAAATGTGCACCAGGCATGAAATAATTACTCATGTATGCTAAATATGTATAGATGTGAGGGTGATGAATAAAGAGAAAGCATTCCTAAATTTAAATAAGCTTTTATGGTTTTCTTTAATCAGTAGTAGATGCATGAGGCCCCCTACTGTTTATTTAGAAATTCAGATTTACCTATATTTTGAAGGATATATAAATTAAACTCTAGCAAAGGTGTTTACATCATAGTCCAAGAAGCATGAAGAACACCGAACTCTGAACTGGCTCTATTTCTAAATGTGTGACCTTAGACAGCTTGGGTGACTGGAGAGAATATTTCATTATTTTTTCCTCTTTGTGATGTATTGGTGTCATCAGCCCTACCTACTTCCTGGGACAGCTGAGGATAACATGATGTAATTTATGATATTCACTATAGAAATGTAAGCATTACTGTAACTGTATTCTAGGTTATATTTAGAAGCTTTGCCACATTCAGACTTACATACCCGAATCATACCATGATTCAAAAACTGGAAGAATCAGCCTCCTTCTGCATATTGTTTACATAGGGGTAAAAACAGAAGAGCTCCTGTTATACAAATAGATGAAAACTCCCTTACGTTTTTAAAGGTGCATTTTCATTTCATATTTTTTTTGCTCTTATTTTTAGATACATCTTATAAAGCCAGTTTTACCAAAACTAAACAATCTGTTTGAATATGCAGTGTCAAAGGAAAATGGTAATGATTACTTTTATTTTGATTTTTTTTTTCTTTATAACATTTATAGTTCCCCCCCTCCCCCGGTTTTGTAACTAATACTTATTCATTGTAGAGAATTTGGGAAAACTATTAAAGTGTAAGGAAGAAAAATAGGAATCATCTTGTAATGCCGCCACTGAGAGTAACTTCTGATAACATTCCAGATACACACCTTCTGAATCGCAGCGTTCATAATTGTTTGCCTCACTCAGCGTTACAGCCATATCTGTTTACCCATATCTTTAAGTAGTCTTTAAGGACATCATTTTAAATGGCTGCAGAGTTTTCTGTTCTGTAGAGGTATGGTTCATTTTTTAAACTTCTGATTATGGAAAATTTCAAACATCACAGATGGAAAAGAAGGATGAACCCCTGCACCGCTCCGGCAGCGAGTCACAGCGGGCCAGCCTTGTTTCTAATATGATATGTAACCTCTCCTAGATGACCTCGAAGCACATCCCTAGGCATCACATCATTTCATCTGTAAATATTTCAGTATATATCTTTAAAAGATAAGGTCTTTTTGGTTTTTTAACGATGGTGCATTCTCCACTTTTAATTATAGCTCTTTGGTATGAATATGTATTTGAACTGCTTTCCAACATTCTTTTTATCTTAATATATCTTTTTCAATGTTTGTTAGAGTTACTTTTTTGGGGGTTCAAATTGCTCTGTACCTCACACTTCTTAGGAAGAGCAAATTCCAAGATATAATTTTAAATATAGTTTTGAAGCCTTTAATCACTACTGTATTATGGGAGCCTTTTACGAGAGATAAAATAAAGCTGGAACTTCCTAAAATTATTTTGTGAAATTAAGCTTAGGTCAGTGAAATAGCCAACATGTTCTGTATTCATATGAATGATAAGATGCTGCACTACTGTGTTTACACATGAGAATTAACCTAGGTAAATAGGTTTAGTGCCTACTCTAGATAATTACAGCTTTAATAGTTTGACCCCTTAGAAATGAGCTCTATTGAGCTGTTTGCTGTAGTTTTCTGATACACTGGGAATTTTCACACACCGTAAGTATCTATTGTCCCACCTGGGGCTAGAATTTAATTGAATCCTGTTGTGACTTCACTTATGCATTTACTATTAAAATGATGCTCTTATTATCACATTTTGCCCAAAGCACTTGGCAAACAAAATCCAATAGCAGTAACTGATTTTGAAAAATTACCACCGCCAAAGAGTTGAATAAGCATCTTGGTGTAAATTACAAATAATGGACCAATTTATCTATAAAATCATGAGTTGAAAATGCTGAATACTTTTTTTTCTGATAGGATTAAATGATATTTCAAAAGAGAAAAAAATCTCTCTAAGGTACACATTTATTCCATTTTTTATTTGCTCTCTCATTTATGTATTTGCTTAATAGATATTTACTGAGTGTCCTGTGCATGCTGAGCACTGGGGATAAAGTGGAGAGCCAGATGCAGAATTTTTCACTTGGTTTTTGTGTTTTCCATGAAAAAATAGTTTTGATTATAAGTTGTGTGAAGGGAACAGACAAGGGACTGAAATGGAGTATACAGGAGTGGGATGGACAGGGAAGGCTTAGGATTACATCTAAACTCAGAGTTCCAGGCCCAGGAAGCACCTGCTGCCCAGCCCTGAGATGGGGGCAGCTCTGGGGGCAGCTCCGGGGGGCAGACCACAAGGACCAGAGGGGTGTGCGGAGGAGGGGATGAGTTTGGAGCAGTAAGGCCAGTTCATGCCTTGCTCAGATTTTATTCTAAGTGATGGGAAGCCACTTGAGGGTTTTAAGCTGAGTGACAGTTTCAGATTTCTGTGTGAGAAATAGGTTGAAGTACGCTGAGAGAAGAATTAGTTGAAATCCCCCCAAAATCTAAAGTTCCATCCCACGCACATGGGGTGATGTCTAATTTTCGTACACTGTGGCAGCTATAACATTCGTTTGCAGTCTTTCTAAATGAAACCGTCTAAATACAGAATACTAAATACCAGTGTTATTTTCGTTATTCAGTAAACCTCCTTGGGTGTAATTAAAAACAAATTCACTTTTGTAAGGTTACAGTGAAGTGAATGCAGTTGTCTGTGCGTGTCTGTATTTATGAGCATTTAGTCCATGTGCAGAGACGTGGAATAGGAATCGAGTGTTAACACTGGATGTTTATTTCTGCAGGATGTTGGCTCTTCCACCCGTCCTGGCATTTGTGTATTTATAAGAGAATGTTTGAAAGTGAAAATAAAATCCTGACCAAAGAAGGTGTTATCCACTTTTTGGAGTTGTATGAAACAAAGGTTCTTCCATTTTCACCAGAATTTTCCGAGGTAACGACAGACTGTTGTGTTCCTTGTCCCCTTGGTTAAAAGACAAGAGGTGAAGCATTTGTTGTACCGAACATGATCTCCAAAAAAATGCACTGCGACTCTGTATCAGCAGGTGACATTTGATAGAGTTGTGTACAACAAATTGTGTTTTTCTAAGCCTAATTCTCCTATTTGGAAAAAGCTTGTGTCATTTGTCGACACCAAATGGTACACCTGCCTGCGTCATTACCGTTGTGAAAAAGGAGTTCTGTGGTGTCCGTATGCTAAACAGCATGAGTCCAGAGTGTTGAGTCGGTGGTATAGAAGCTTTGGTTACACTGTTCTCACAGTTCTAAGTTGCAGAATTGCTGTCACTTGTCCAGTGGTGCTCCTCCCCTGCTCTGAGTCAATGGTTTACTGTTATCTACTTATTAAGCATAGATCGCCTTCTGAGCTGTATTTATTAGAATCTGTGCCTGCGTTTGTCAGGAACCATACAAAGCAAAGAGACCGAGAATTATAGCTGATTTTAAGTTCTCTGTTATACTGCCATAGGAGTCACATGATCTATGAATCACATGATCACTTCCTTAGGTAGAGTAACTTACCTCTCATTTAGAGGTTACCTAAGTCAGTTTTTCAGTCTGAATACCTGCTACAGTATTTTGATAATGCGTCATTTTTCTACAATGTCCTATCCTGCCTGTGCTTCATGTAAGCTTGCTTTTTTGATCAGTGTCTGATAATATTTTTGGAGCATAGTTTTTTCCCCTTTATGTTCAGGGGAAAAATTTTCTCTTTATGGTCAGGGGCTTAAATTTTCTCTTGAGTATCTTTTTGTTTTTCCTGTTACTGTCTATATTTTTCCAGCATGTGTTTCTTCCTCAGATTCTTTTCTTCCTTCGTAACATGAACTGTCCTCTTAGTATGCCACAAGTTGTTTTCAGGTGGGAAAATTCTGTAATTTTGTCGTTCTGGTCAAATGAAGATATCCCCAAGACCATCACTGAATTAACCTGTGGTGTAGGAGACCAGCTTTTCTTACAGCAGCTCTTCTGCAGCCTTGTGAAGGATGTACGACCAGGGCAAGCTGACTTCTCAAAACTGGAGTTACAACTTAATATCGATTACGTATCTTTTTTTTTTCCTTTAGTTTATTACCGGACCACTAATGGATGCACTTTCAGAGAGCTCTCTGTACTGCAGGTAAGTGAACATGTTACTTAGCAGTAATGCAGTGCCATGTATTTGATATATACATTTGATGTTATGAAACATGACCTGATTGTTTAATGCATTTGGTATGTAATATATGTTGTCTGGTAGACTGTCATCGTTTTCTTATCATGTAGTCCCTTTCATATTTGGTATTCTTCTTGCCTCTTACTATTTGTATCGATTTGCCTCCTGTCTTGTTTCATTTCCTCCCTCAAGCCCCTCCATACTTGGGCTTTTTGGAGACTTCACCTTATATTCTCTCTCTTCCCCCGATTCCTGCTTTCTCCCCTCCTGGAAATTGTAGTGACTTTGGTTAATCAACACTTTAAACTTTTGTTCCTTTTTCTTTTAATATTTTTTTTTTTGACTTAAGCTTCAGACGTATAGAAATGTCGTGAGAGGAGTACAAAGAATTGCCATGTGCTGTTTTCATATTCCCCAAATGCTAATGTTTTGCCAGATTTGCCTCATTGTTGCTTTTCTCCGTGTGTGCATGTGTGCGTGCGTGTGCGTGCGTGTGTGTGTGTGTGTGTGTGTATGTACACATACACATCTCTTTCTTAGCTCTACTGACCAGACTTACCCATCTGTATCTGTTTGTGTGTGTTCTTCGGTCCACCCATCTCTCCGTATTAAAAACCATGAATTCACGCCAATAATCCAATTTCAGTCTAATACCGCAGGGTTTATTCTAATCTTTTTCCTTTCCAGATCTGACAGTGGCTGCCATTAGTTATAATATATCTACTTATATTTGCCACTTTTATCTTTTGAAAAGGTTTACAGTGAGAAGAGTTTGTCCGTATTCTGCCTTAGCCTTGTTTTTTTGAGCATTATCTATACTCTTGATTCTAATCTTTTTCCTTTCCAGATCTGACAGTGGCTGCCATTAGTTATAATATATCTACTTATTTGCCACTTTTATCTTTTGAAAAGGTTTACAGTGAGAAGAGTTTGTCCGTATTCTGCCTTAGCCTCGTTTTTTTGAGCATTATCTATACTCTTGATTTATAGCTTCAAAAATTTCCCCTGCTTTTGAAATTATGTTGTTCTTCTAATATTAATTAACTAAATTTATAGTTGTGAGTCTTCTGTCTGGTATGCCTCTAAACAGAAAAAGATAAATACCCCACCCCCTGCAGCTTTCTTTAAAATGTTTTAATTAGTCTGTGCCAAGTTATATTAATATTTAGTTTTGTTTAATAAATATTAAGAGAGCATAGCAATGCTCGATTTGCCAATTATTTTTAGTTTTCAAATAACGCATTACTATTGAATAGTTTTTTGAAACAATTAGACAGCTGGAGAGCAGTAAAACCAATGAAAAAATCTTGGTGCTTTCTAAAAGAGTTAACAAACACATTTGTTATAAACTACCTTCAGTTTTCTAGCACTCTAATGTGTTCAATTAACAGATAATGTTCCTGGCAGAAGCATATAGCAGGAAAACATGACTTTAGTAGATGTGAACAAGGAAATGCTCTTGCAAAAATAATTTATTACTAATATATGTCTTTGCTATGAATGTGCTTTCTTTTATTTTAGACCTAAAGATTTAAAGTCATTGGATTATATGTTGGAAACAATAAAATATAATTTAAAATGATAATTTAGGCCGTTATTTTTCATGATACTATTTAGCAAGATTCATATTGTGTAAGTGTGAGAGAAAGTGTCATAAAAAGGAAATCCATGCGTACTTAGTATAGTAGGTTATTAATTCATGTCCATTTTCCTACAAGATCCTGATAACCAGAAAGATTCTCAGAATTTTACTGAAAAATAAAATGCAGTCAAAAAAAAAGACAAAAAATAAAATGCAGGTTCAGAAAAAGAAGATTATCTGATAGTTTTATTGTTGAAAGACTTTTGGGCTATAGTCCATTTACACTGCTTTCATAAATAGATTTTAAAAATTTGTTTCCTCCCTCTTTGCCAACAGGAACCCAGGCCAGCTTATAGGAAGTGGTTCTCCATTGGGATTGAAATTACAGAAGTTTTTAGTCACCTATGTTTCTCTTCTTCCCGAAGAAATAAAGAGTATGTGTCCATAAAGTTTTCTAAAAAGTTTATTAGCTTGAACATTTTTTATTTTTAGCGTATTTGTTATAAGCACCATCGTATGACTGTTATAATCAGTATTTTCAAAGTATTTTTCTTTTTCCAGTATATGTACAGTTACTCCACTTTCTGAATCCTTTTTGTACTCCCACCTTTGTTATTTATGAAGTGACTCTGTGAGCATCCCTAATCTGAAAATCCAAAATGTTCTGGTAAGCCTTTCCTTTGAGCATCATATTGGCGCACAAAAAGTTTTGTATTTTGGAATATTTTGGATTTTGGATTTTTGGATCAGGGATGCTCAACCTGTAATATCTATTCAAAAGTCAGGGAAAATATGGTCTGTAAATCATGACTTTAAATTTATAGAAAATTGATTGTTTTGACTATTTTTTTAAAAAGAATTAGTTACTGGAGAAGATAACGTACCTGTCAGAGCCATTCCTTAGTTTGCTAGGATTCAGAAGTTTAAGCTTCTGTCCAACAGTATGGGGATTAATTTGTTGACCACGTTGGTACATCTGTGCCATAGCACGGGGGAGTGAGACGGAAGAGGCCAGCGCTTCCTGAACTTTGAGTGCCTGATGGCTGTGACTTAGGGCCAGGCACATCTCGCTCACTTGGCAAATGTGTGGAGTGGATGTGAGGCAGATGCCTGGCCATTGCCGTCTTCCTGGTGTTGTGAGTGAGGTGTAAAAGATGTGATTTATTGAGCTTATTAAGAGCAGGCAGAGGAGAGAGCAATTAAAATGTTTACTAGCAGTTCTTAGTGATTTTTTCAGTCTTCAATTTCCAGTGAGCATCTCATGTGTATCTAGTTTTGTGCTAGGTACTTGGGAAGATATAGAATACCTGTAATACCCTTTTAGGAGCTTCTGAGGATTTCTTGAAAGTCAAAAATGGGCATTTTCATTAACTGCATGACCTGAGGGTCCTTAACGGATCCTCATCAGCAGAGAGGGCAGAATGAAATAACATCCCATCGCATCCAACACAGAAATATAAATGATCGTAATTAGATCCAGGGTGTCAAGAAACAGGCTATCAGAGCTAATGTTGTTTGCAGATACTAGAGGCCAGTCACCATCTATACTTCTGCCTGTTTTCCCATGGCTTCTAACAGTAAAAAATTATCTTTCACCTTAACTTTTTAAAAAGTATAGCTGCATGGTTATCAGAATCTCTGCAATATAATAGAATACTTATCTTGCTAAATAGCAGTGAAATTGTAATAACATTGTTGTTTTTTTTTTTACAGCAGCTTTATTGGCATATAATTTACATACCGTAAAATTCACCCTTTTAAACTCTTATATTCAGTGGTGTTTTTAGTATATTCCCAACATTGTACAACCATTACCACTGTCTAATTCCAGAATATTCCATCACCCCCAAAAGGAACCCTGTGCCCATCAGCAGTCGCTTCCCATTCTCTCCCCCCTGTTCGTGGCAGCTACTTGTCCACGTTCTGTCTCTGTAGGTTTGCATATTGCAAACATTTCATATGAATGTTACCATGTAGCATGTGGCCTTTTATGTCTGGCTTTTGTCACTTAGCATAGTGTTTTCAAGGTTCAACATGTTGCAACATATATCAGCATTTCGTTCCTTTTTGTGGCTGAATAACATTCCATGATAGATACTCCTGATTTTATGTATCCATTCATCAGTTGGTAGACATTTGGATTGTTTCTACTTTTGACCGTCATGAGAAATGCTGCTATGAATATTCATGTACTAGTTTTCATGCAAACACATGCATTCAGTTCGCTTTGGTACATACTTAGATGTGGAATTGCTGGGTCATGTGGTCATTTTGTGTTTACTTTTTGGGGAACTACTGTGTTGCTTTCCACAGTGGCTGCCCTGTTTCACACTCCCACCAGCAGCGTGTGAGGGCTACAGGTTCTCCATGTCCTTCTCAGTACTTGTTATTGTCTGTCCTTTTGATCACGGTGTAGCCCATCCTAATAGATGTGAAACAGTCATGATGGTTTTTAATTTGTATTTCTCTAGTGACTAATGATGTTGAGCCTATTTTCATGTGCTTATTGGCAACAATAATATTTTAAAATTTTTTCTTGCAGGTAGTTTCCTACTAGAGTTTATTCAGAAGATGGCCAGGAGACACTGGTGTGCTGTGCCCATTTTGTTTCTGTCTAGGGCTTTGGCAAGTGTCCCAAGATGTAAGGCCCTGGGTGTAGAAGGGCTTCTTGCTCTCAGGTGATTTGATCTGTGTGTGTTCACATATGGTTATTTTATTTTATTTTTTTTTAAAAGATGACCGGTAAGGGGATCTTACCCCTTGACTTGGTGTTGTCAGCACCACGCTCTCCCAAGTGAGCTAACCGGCCATCCCTATATGGGATCCGAACCCATGGCCTTGGTGTTATCAGCACCGCACTCTCCCGAGTGAGTCACGGGCCGGCCCCAGACATCATTAGTTTTTATTTAAACCACTTTGATTTCATTCAAACCAAGAATATCTGGGTCCTTAGGCAATGGATTCAGGAGGGAACACAGCAAGTTTTCATTCTGCCCCACTGTGGAGAAACAGCGATCGGCTCATTCTCTCCCACTGTCTCTCCAAGCACCAGAGAACTGAAGCCAACAGCATGGACCAGAGAGAATCAAAGCCGGCGTACGTGATGCTTTGGCACTTGCAGGCTCACCTGCTGGCATCGTAAACATCTAACCCCAGCCCTTAGAGATTAAAAAAAAAATACAAATAAAAATACAGTGGGTGAACAGATTCCAGTGGGTCTCAGGTTCCAGTGCCCACCTGGTCCCGCAGACACAGTGCTGTGCACAGGTCTAGTTCAGGTCTGCTTGAGCCACGTGGCCCTGCCGCCAGAGGCGTGGCGTGAGAATATGTGAAGCTCTGGCTTAAAAGTCTGCAAGTGCCTCTGAGTTGTTCCTACAGAATTAATAAGGTGAACAAATGCCTGAGGGCGTCTTGGGGACACTTTCCTCACTTCTCTTTCAGTTAGTTACAGAGGATATGGCTAAATGAACTTCAGATTGTTGCTTCCAGATAGAGAGGGAGGACATAGAAGGACACAAAACTCCTTTCCAGGTGACAATGCCAGCCGATCTGTCTACTCTCGACTGAGAATTAAACCTTGCTGTGACAAAGAAAAAAAAAAAAAGCATCTTCATTTATAGTCTTATTTTTAAAAGATATTTGTTTCATATTAAAATTGAGCTCTACTAGAGGCCATCATGGAAAGTGATGGCTTTGAAATTCTACTGACAGTGACTTTCTTCCTTAGAACTTGTAGGTGTTGTAAGTCAGCTTGTCAGTAATTATAAATGACCAGAATTGTCTTTGGGTGTATGGAAATGCGTTTTGTGTTTTGATGTCAGGGATGTCATTCAGTGTACCATGATCACACACCAGATCCTACTGAGAGGGGCAGCCCAGTGCTACCTTCTTCAAACAGCAATGAATTTGGTGGATGTGGTAAGTTTTTTTGATACTGTCGTATACAATCCTAGTGAGTGGGTATGCAAAAGTTAGTTAACACAGCAGGCCTGTGCTGCTGCCACTAGAAGAAGGGCTTGCTTATGAGGTTGGCCCTTGGCTGGCATCTGGGAAGGATTTACACTATACTAAATGATAAGAGTGGCCCACTGGGCTGAAAGTGTTTGTATAGACAGTATGGTTTGTGCAGAGCACCTGCCTGCCTTCTGGGATCTGGAATTTCAGTGTGATGAGGCAGGGGTGCCTGTAAAAGCCCCGGGCACTGAGCCTCTAGCAAGCCTGCCTGGCAGACAACGTTTCCAAGTGTTCTCGCAGCTGGTGGCTGGGAGCCAGTCACGTCCTGCCGACTCCTTGGGAGAGGGCTCTGGACTTGTACCTTGTTTCCTCCATACTTTCCTCTATTCTTCCAGTGTATTGATGTTTGGGAGTATCTGCTGGCTTTATTTTGTGCTTTCTACAGGGCCCCAGTAAAAGCTATTGCTTAGAACAGAGGTCAGCACACTCTCTCTGTGAAGAGCCAGATAGTGAATACTTTTTAGGCTTTGCCGGCCATGTGGTGGTCTCTGTTGTGACTTCTGAACTCTTCCACTGAAGCCAAAAGCAGCCATAGACATTTATAAATAAATGGGCACAGCTGTGTTCCCACAAGCCTTTATCTGCTAAACAGGCTGTGAGTAGGTTTGCCAACCGCTGGCCTGGAGCAAGGTATCTTAATTCAAGATGTGCAACCTGAAGGGAATGAAAGGCCTAGGTGGTGGTTTTTTTTTTTTTTTTCAGAAAACTTTTGAATAAAGAAAACCACTTTGAAAAAAATCACTTTTTGATTGAAAGTAATTTCTTATTATAGAATGATCTCTTTTTTTTTAATGATTGTAACTGTCTTTGCTCAAGATAGTAACCTCAGCTGTAAGGAAAATAGATTTTAAAAATAATCTTTCATGTTATATAATGAAAGATTGCAACTGAAATCTTCATTTTAAAAGTCGAGTAATATGTTCTTTTCAAAATACAGCTTTCTTTTAACTAATAATATTCTGTTTTAAATAGTATACATAGTTGCTGCCACAGTGATTTTATTTTATTCAATCAAACATATTAAGGTGAGTAACGTTTTCAAAACCCCCTTACCCTGCGCAGGAGAAAGTGTCACTTTCAGATGTCTCGGCTTTTCTCATGTCTTTGAGACAAGAGGAGTCCTTGGGACGAGGGACTTTATTGTGGACAGAGGTGAGATTGAAAATAATTTAATAAGTCTTTGAAAAACTTAATAGAAATGAGAAAATGCACATAGAAAGCTTCAGATTAGGCTCAGTTCAGAGGAATATAAAGAACGGAAAGAAAACTGTGTAGTTAAAAGATAAATACTGGCTGACCTTACTGTTAGATTGCGTTTTAATATCTGACTTGGTTAAAAAACCTGCACAGAACTGCTGTCCTGTGTTAAGTGAACTGCCCGTTCACTGGTGTCTGTGGGGTATCAGTTTTATTCTTGACCAATTCATTAATTCAGTCATTCAACAGTTTCATCTTTGGTCAAGTGATGTGTTATTCTTTCTTGTCCTTATATGTGATTTTGGATGACCTTAATGGATTCATAATTATTTTCTTCACATTTAAACTAATTTATTGAATTTGTGTATTAAGAGAGAGAATATAAAAAAGTAATTCAGGACATATTTACATTTTAAAATGAAAAATTTACAATTACATGTGATCGAAGATTAATTGTGAAATTCTTTGCTTTATTTTTGTGTATTAAGAGAGAGAATATAAAAAAGTAATTCAGGACATATTTACATTTTAAAATGAAAAATGTACAATTACATGTGATCGAAGATTAATTGTGAAATTCTTTGCTTTATTTTTGTCAGTCTTCTAAGATGTAATGGAGAAAGTCTAGGACAGTATTTCTCTTTTAAATTAATACATTTTGATATGTACACATGATAGAAAATAAACTTGTGAGGAGAGTAGGAACTTTAATTATAACTTATATTTCGAATTCTACATTCAAAAATAAAAGCTCTTGTTTTAGTATATGAACCTAGAAGCAGTTTTAATTTAAGCTTGTAATTTGTTTTACATAATGTGTTTTCACAGAGATGTTCTTTAGAACAACTTATCAAAATGTGCATTTTATATTAGACTTTAGAAATTCTTGTCTGTTGGGCTGGCCCGTGGCTCACTCGGGAGAGTGTGGTGCTGATAACACCAAGGCCACGGGTTTGGATCCCATATCGGGATGGCCGGTTAGCTCACTGGGTGAGCGTGGTGCTGACAACACCAAGTCAAGGGTTAAGATCCCCTTACTGGTCATCTTTAAAAAAAAAAAAAAAAACAGAAATTCTTGTCTGTTAATGAAATCTATAAAATTCTTTGAGGCAGATTAGAAAACAAACGTACATATCTGTGTATATCTATATATTTATACAAATATACACATATACATACATATATACATATATACACTTTTTTTTTCTGTATGTACTGTGGATCTCAGTCATGACAATAAGTGGTTATTTGTTGTACTCACTGTTTTAAATTCAGTTTATTGTGGATGAAAGAAAACTGGCCTAGGGAAATTAGAAACCCTCTTTGTTCATTTCTGGGTGAGCGTGGTGCTGACAACACCAAGTCAAGGGTTAAGATCCCCTTACTGGTCATCTTTAAAAAAAAAAAAAAAAACAGAAATTCTTGTCTGTTAATGAAATCTATAAAATTCTTTGAGGCAGATTAGAAAACAAACGTACATATCTGTGTATATCTATATATTTATACAAATATACACATATACATACATATATACATATATACACTTTTTTTTTCTGTATGTACTGTGGATCTCAGTCATGACAATAAATGGTTATTTGTTGTACTCACTGTTTTAAATTCAGTTTATTGTGGATGAAAGAAAACTGGCCTAGGGAAATTAGAAACCCTCTTTGTTCATTCGGTTTGTAAAATGAAGTAATAACTACCTTCTTTTCCAGCTCTGTGACTGGTTACGTGTAAATGAAAGCTATTTTAGGCAGTCCTCAAATTGTACCTCTGTTGGACTTCATGAAACATCTTTAAATGCTTATGTGAAGAACCTAGTTCAGGAATATGTTAAGTCACCTGCTTGGGAAAGTAAGTCTGAAATCATTTTTATGGATCAATACAACCAAAATATTTTTGAAGAACTTTTGACTAGTTTTTTAGATCAGGATTTAGGCCTAACCCAATGAGTGATGATTTCCTTATGTCAAACTTGTATTTCAGACAAATAATATAACAGAATATAAAGATATTGTTTCCTAACTTGTCCCTTATCTGTTCTAAGACTTGAGATTTTAAGCTATTTTATATGTTTCAAGAAGCTAATAAGTTGCCTGAGTAGGAACTGGACACAAATGAATGAATTCATTCACTCCATAGTTACTGAGTCCTTGTGAGCGAGATATTATAGATGTGTTTTTGGAGCCTTAGTGGAAGTATGTGTCAGCAACTTGGTTCATCTTTTTTTGTTGTTTTGTTTTCAAAGTGTTACGTTTAATATGAACTGATTATGAGGAACAATTTTAGAGAAAAATTATGTTTGAGAGGATGATTTTGTTAGTCCTTTCTTTTCACCAGGTCTTTGCAGAGATCCCTTCTCTAAGGACATGTGTAAGACCGCACGAGGGAAGAACTCTTAGCAGATTCATTAATTAGGATTCTTTTTACATTTCTAATGCTTCCTCTTCATTACAGTCATTAGTCATAATTTGGGAAATTACAGCTTTCAATTTAACATGTCTTAAATTTCCCAGCTTTGTCTCAGACCAAGTCATTGTCATCTAGTGATTTCTCTAATCTGATCATAGAATAGGTCTTACATGATCAGATAATTATCTTTCCAAAATACATGAGTTTATCCTTCTGGAACATTTCTCTTTTTTGTTTCATTCCCTCTATTGTCTAGTAAATTTTCTGTGCTGTTACATGGAAGACTCTTTTGTAAGGCCTATACAAGTAAATAAATTTTAGTCCCTACTAAAGTAAATACAGCCTGGGGATCCAACCCAGGTCCGAGGCCCCATAGCCTTTGTGTCCTTGTGTATTCCATCCCCGTTCTGGTTACACTTCGGGGCAGTCTTGTCTCTCAGCTGAGCTAGTGGAGGTCCTCCTTACCTGGTTACCTGACATCTCGTCTTGCTTCTCCTACAGTCTCTTTTCCACATTGTACCTAGAGAAATATTTTCAAAACACAAATTTCTGTTGTGCACATTTCCCCTCCCCTTCTTTGTGTACACGTCCATCAGCCCTTAGTGACTTTGTCTTCAGGGCACAGACGTGGCCCACAAACTTTCCTGTCTCTCCCCACCTGTTTCTGTCACGTCGTCTCTGGCCATTCCCTCTCACGTAGTGTACACACAGGCATCCTTCTATGTCCTGGAGTGCAGTGTGTCTTGTCCTGCCAGAGGACCCATGACATGCTCTTCCTTTGGTCTGGATGGTTCTTGTCCCCTTCCCTGATCTCATTCCTTCTCAGCCATCATGCTGAGACTGTCATTTCTTCAGGGAAATGTCCCCTCGCTCCCCGATGTGGGTGTGTCTTTCTGATGGACCCTCCAGTAGCTCCACCCGCCCTGCTTGAGTCCTCACTGCACTTACAGCATTACAGCTGTGTGCTTATTCTCTGGTCCATGCTTTTCTCCCATACTGCTGTGCATCCTGTGAGCGTAGGGGGCCCTGTGTCTGTGGCCCCCGGCCTGGGCACAGCTCCAGCAGGCAGACAGGATTTTGTTCCTCTTCCAGTACCAGATGTGTGATCATGTGCCCTGCCGGGGGGTGTTCTACTGTATTTCATCTCAGCTGTGTTTCTCTAGTGGTTTAATATTGGCCAGGCATAATCACTTAGCTGTGTTGTTTTGAAGTATCATTTTTGAAGGATTTTTTTAATGCTTCGTAAACCTTACCTATTGTTCCTAAAGCAGGAGAAAACTGCGTCATGCCGGATTGGTTTGAAGCCAAGCTTATTGCTTTGATGGTCTTGCTGGCAGTGGATGTGGAAGGAATGAAGACTCAATATAGGTAATTATTTCTGTAATTGAAAAGAAAGCTTATTTTAAGCAAAGGCCAGTCAGATGTGTATTCAGACTTTTCAGTAATTGGTATAGAGTTGATCACAAGATATTAACGGAGGAACTAGAACTTTGTAAATAATACTAAAGAATTGTTTAAAGTTAACAGTAAATAAATAGGAATAAGGGCATATTGATTTCTCTTAGGTTGGCAAATTAAATGTTAAACTAAATTTAACAATGTAATGTTAAATTGGAGAAGGTTAAAAAAAAAAACCTATCTATAATAATCACTGGTTTTATATCAGTATTAGGAGAATGGGTTTTAAGATCCTATCATAAGATGAGGTAAAAAAAAAAAAATTCTGGATATGACCTCTTTGTAAAATGTGTATTTAAGAAAAGAAAAGGTAATAAATATAAAACAATTTTGTTTATATATTGAGAATGGGACCGGACCAATTCTCACTAGATTATATATGTGGCAATAAGCAGCTTCATTATGTAGATGAGGTAGTATATTTGCATAATATACAGTTAATTAGATTTACATCAAATCAAAGTTTTAGTACTAAAGTTGGTCATAACAGTTTTTCATAAATCCTTAGTTTTTTGTATTTTTCTTTTAAACATGTCTCATTTTCTTGACTAATTTGTTTGGGTTTTTCAGATTTACATCAAATCAAAGTTTTAGTACTAAAGTTGGTCATAACAGTTTTTCATAAATCCTAGTTTTTTGTATTTTTCTTTTAAACATGTCTCATTTTCTTGACTAATTTGTTTGGGTTTTTCTTTTTTTGTGTTTTGTTTGTTTGTTTGTTTTATATTATGGAGGCAGGGTCTTGGCAGTTTAATTTGCAGATGAGTGGGGTTGGGATCCAGGTGCTGAGAGTTTAGGAGAGCTGTTCTTCCCTGTGCTTTCTTCTCTAGTGAATGGCTGCACTCAGGAGGAAGCACAGACTGAAAGATCAGTTCTCATAGGTGCTGCAGGGTTCAGTCATCTGTAAGAGTAACTTGGCTAACTGAGTCCATTAGCTAACCAATTCCACAGAGTATAGGTAGAAAATAATTTCTTCATGTTTCTGAGATGGTTGGTTTGTGGATGTCCTTTACTATCTAGTGAAAAGCAGCGGACACAGAATGTGTTGAGAATCTTCTTAGACCCTCTTCTGGACGCCCTGATGAAGTTTGGTACAAACGCCTACGTGCCCTTGCCAAAGACTGACAGATGCCTCCAGCTTCTGCTGAAGTTACTGCACATGTGCATGTCGAAAGGTCCCAGGACCCAAGATGGTGAGGATAAAAGGTTTCTGTTGGCGTCTTGCTTGGTATGTCATTGGTATTTAGAATGAGGGGAACTTCCTGATCTTTTAAAATAAAAATAAAGCTTCACTCATTCAGCAGATATTTACTGAGTGTCTCTGGGTGGTGCTGGGAATAGTGGTGTGGGAGCAACCTCTGCCTCGTGGAGTGGACAGACTCGTGGTTTATACACATCGTTACTGTCAATTTTAGAATGTGATTTCATTTGCCTTTTTTTAAAAAATTTATGCTTGCTCATTTATTTCTAGACCATTGGAAATAATCAGTATTTTATATATGTTTAAGCAAGGTCCATTTGTAATTGCCCTGCTGCTGGATGTTGTAGAAAGTAAGCTAAGGCTTGAGAGCGGTAGCCATTTTATAATTACTTATTTTTAAATACGAGCATGTTAATCTCTGAGCACCTTTTAAGTAGAAAATACTTCATACAGAAAGTATAGTGGTCGTAGATAGAAGCATCGGGCTCTTCTTTCTTTAAACCAAGATATATGTAAAACAGCAGTTGAAAACCCATGGACATCAGAGATAATAGTATTGACAGGTGAACCTTAATTTCCTTTCTGACCAGTTTCATTTGCAGTTTTAGAAGTTTGCTATTTAAAAATTCTAGAGAAGCATTGGTATAAACCCGAGAACAATATTGATAAGGTTAGGTTTTAATATATGCCTGTGAGATATTAAAGCTAGTTTCCAGATTCTGGAAGTTTGGATGACGGTAGCAGAACCAAGTGCCGTGAATGTAACAGTAACTTTTAGTAGGATTTTGATCTCCTTAAGGGTGTACATTTGGCTTCATTTAACATGTCCCGACTATTTGGTGCGGCCCAGTGCTTTCTGTGTGGGACATCTTTGAAAAAATGTTGCAATATTTGACACAAACAAAAGAGCACGTGGTGGTTATATGTTATAATGCAAAATAATTGGATGCCTGTGAACTCAGCACCCAGCCTAAGAACAGATTTACCTGTCAATCCTCAGTCCCTACCTTTTGTCTCCCTATTTTGACTTTTATCTTTATCACTTCCTTGCATTTTAGAAAAGGGTTTTTACCACATGTATAGATATCCCTCAATGGTATATTGTTTTATTTAATTTTTAGTTGACACGAATTGGTTGTACATTTTTGTGGGGTTCAGAGTTATATTTCAACATGTGTATAAAGCATGTGATGATCAAATCAGGGTAATTAGCATACCCATCATCACAAAGATTGACCATTTCTTTGTGGTGAGAACATTGGAGCTCCTTTCTTCCAGCCATTTGAGAACGTGCAGTACATTATTGTTGATTATAGATGCCTGGTGCTCCTGTACACCACAGAACTTATTTTTCCTGTCTAGCTGTGATTTTTCTCTTAGTCACCCTCTTCCTTTCTCTCTCCCCGTTCCCCTTCCCAGCCTCTAGTAACCACAATTCTACTTTTTACTTCTATACACTCAACTTTTTTTTTTCTTTTTAGCTCCACATATGAGTGAAAACATGCAGTATTTACCTGTTGGTTTTTTAAACCACTTTATTGAGGTGTTGACATGTTAAAAAGCTATACATGTTTAATGCATACATCTTGATGAGTTTGGGGATAAGCATTCACCTGTGAAACCATCACCATCACAGGGTCATAGACATATCCATCACCTTCCAGAGTTTCCTCCTGCCCTATTATTATGACTATTTGTAGTAAGAACACTTAACATAAGATCTACCCTCTTAGCAGATTTTAAGTATATAATACAGTCGCTGTCAGTCACTGTTCTGTATAGATTTCCAGAATCTATTTCGCATAACTGAAACTTTGCCCCCTTTGTTGACGTGATCATCTCCCGTTCCATAGGTTGCCTTTTCATCTTGTTGTTTCCTTTGCCGTGCAAGAGCTTTTTGGTTTGATGTAATCCCACTCGTTTATTTTTACTTTTGTTGCCTGTGCTTTTGGTGTCATATTCAAACAATCATTGCCAAGACCAATGTCAAAGAGCTTTTCCCCTGTGTTTTCTTCTAGCAGTTTTATGGTTTCAGGTCTTAAGTCCTTAATCCATTTTGTGTATGGTCTGAGATAAGGTTTCAGTTTCATCCTTTTGCATGTGGATATCCAGTTTTCCCAGCACCAGTTATTGAAGAAACTATCCTTTCCCCATTTTGTATTCTTGGCACCCTTGTAAAAGATTGGTTGACCATGTATGCATGGGTTTCACAACATATTCGTGAGTTTTCTTGCTTTTGAGCTTTATAGAAATGGTATCCTACTGTCAGAAGTCTTCTGTAACTTTTCTCATTCATCATGTTTCTAACATTTATCCATCTTTCTAACACTTTGGTATTTTCCATGTTGTGTAACCTTCCATTGTTTGATGACATCTCAATGTCCGCATGCTCCTATTGCCGGACATTGGATTGTATTTAGTTTATTACTGTTATGTACAGTGCTGCTATGAACACTTTTCCACATGTCTTCTGGTGCCTGTGTGAGTCTCTCCAGAGTGTGCAACCAGGAATGAAACTGACCTTTCTTGGGGAATGTGCATACTCCATAAGGTATGCAGAAGCATTTTTCCAAGTAGGTGTGTGCACATCTCATGTTCTCACCTGTGGGATGTAAGAGTTAAAGAACTGGGGGAGGAAGCATGACCTACGTAGGGGAGGTCTTGCTGGAAGAGGCCCTGCTGTGAGAGCTGGCAGTTTCAGGAGCAGCTGGGAGGCCAGTGAGGTGTGAGCTATAGGAGATGCACTCTGAGAGGTGAGGGGTGGGGGTGGGTGTTGAGTAGGACTTTGTTTTGACCATTTTCAGGGTACTGACTTTTATTAGAGGGTTTTAGCTGAGGAGTGTTAGGATTTGACTTCAGTTTTAAAAGCTCACTCTGGCAGTAGTATTGAGAATAAACCACAGAGAGGCAAGAGTAAAAGCCAGAAGATAAGCCCCTAGGCTTGTGCCAGGTGCTAGCGTGACTCATGCGGGATGCAGTGAATTGTGTTAAGAATTTGGATATACAGTCACGTGTTGCTCGGCGACGGGAATGTGTTCTGAGAAATGCGTGTTTAGGTGATATCATCCTTGGGTGAACGTCCTAGAGTGCGCTTACACAGACCTAGATGGCACAGCCTGCTGCATGCCTGGGTGCTGAGGTGTAGCCTGCTGCTCCGACCACCATTGTGTGTGGAGGTCCATCGCTGGCTGAAACATCCCAGTGCCGTGTGTGGTTGTATTCTCATGGTATCACCTACAGGATCTGCTCTTGGGTTGGATGTGGGCTGTGAGAAGAAGAGAGAACTCAAAGGCTATTTGATTTTTGGAGGAGTTAGACAGATGGAGTTGCCTTTAACTGAGATTAGAAAGACAAGTTAGAGCAGGTTTTGGAGTAAAGATGAGAAGTTCGGTTTTGGATAATATCACAGCATAAAATTTACATTTTCACCATTTTTAGGTGTGTAGTTCTGTGACATTAAGCACATTCACATGGTTGTGTGGTCATCACCCCAGTCATCTCCAGAACTTTCATCCTCCGCTACTGAAACGTACCCATTAAACACTAACACCCGTTCCCCCTTCTGTCCAGGTTCTGGCAACTGTGCCATTTCCTGTCTCTAAGAATCTGACTATTGTAGGTACAGCATTTAAGTGAAATCATACAGTATTTGTCCTGCTGTGTCTGGCTTGTTGTGACTTAGGATAACGTCTTCAGGTTCATCTGTGTTGTGGCATGTGTCAGAATTTCATCCCTTTTCAAGGCTGGATACTATTCCATTGTATGGATATTCTACATTTTGTTTATCCTTCATCTGTTGATTGACATTTGGGCTACTTCCACCTCTTGGCTATTACAAATAATGCTGCTATGAACATGGGTGTACAAATATCTGTTTGAGTTGCTGCTTTCAATTCTTTGGGGTATATACTCAAAAGTAGAATTGCTGGATCAGATGGTGGTGCTGTGTGTAAGTGTTTGAGGAACCACCACACTGTTTCCCACAGTGGCTGTGCCATTTACATCCTCACCAGCCGTACACAAGAGTTCTAATTTCTCCACATCCTCACCAGTACTTATTTTCTGGGTTTTTGTTGTTGTTTTTTTTAGTAATAACTGAGATAACTCTTTGACTGATTCTGGTATCACTTCTTTTGGGATTTAGTGTGCTGCTGTCAATTGACTGAGGCATAGAGTAGGAAACACCACCATGACACCATGAATGCCATCCTGGTTGGACCTTTGCACACAGTTAGTACATTGTTTTGAAAGGGTGTTACGTTCAGAGATGTGGCCATGACAGGGGTGTCTGGAGAGTGAAGCAGAGCCCTCCTGTAAAGTGCTTTTGAGAGGAACTACCATGGCAGGACAGGGACATTGGAAGCGTTGACAGCAGGTGCTTTTCTTTATGTCATTTTGTTCTCTTTCTCCAAGACCTGGGCTTGCCCTAGTAATCTCAAATTAAATGTATTTTGATCTAATGGTTTGGGTGTATCCGAGGAAGTAAATATTTCTTTATGCTATCAAATAATGCTGCTATGAACATGGGTGTACAAATATCTGTTTGAGTTGCTGCTTTCAATTCTTTGGGGTATATACTCAAAAGTAGAATTGCTGGATCAGATGGTGGTGCTGTGTGTAAGTGTTTGAGGAACCACCACACTGTTTCCCACAGTGGCTGTGCCATTTACATCCTCACCAGCCGTACACAAGAGTTCTAATTTCTCCACATCCTCACCAGTACTTATTTTCTGGGTTTTTGTTGTTGTTTTTTTTAGTAATAACTGAGATAACTCTTTGACTGATTCTGGTATCACTTCTTTTGGGATTTAGTGTGCTGCTGTCAATTGACTGAGGCATAGAGTAGGAAACACCACCATGACACCATGAACGCCATCCTGGTTGGACCTTTGCACACAGTTAGTACATTGTTTTGAAAGGGTGTTACGTTCAGAGATGTGGCCATGACAGGGGTGTCTGGAGAGTGAAGCAGAGCCCTCCTGTAAAGTGCTATTGAGAGGAACTACCATGGCAGGACAGGGACATTGGAAGCGTTGACAGCAGGTGCTTTTCTTTATGTCATTTTGTTCTCTTTCTCCAAGACCTGGGTTTGCCCTAGTAATCTCAAATTAAATGTATTTTGATCTAATGGTTTGGGTGTATCCGAGGAAGTAAATATTTCTTTATGCTACCTATAGCTGTTGTAGCTCTTTTGCCTTTCCATATAAATTTTATAATCAGCTTGTCTGTATCTACAAAAATAATCCTGCTGGGATTTTGATTGGATTTGCATTAAATCTGTAGATAGATTTGTGGAAAATTGCCTTTATTGTATTGAGATATTTAATGCTTGAATACGGTATGTCTGTCTACTTATTTAGGTTTCTTTGATTTTTTCCATCACATTTTTATAGTTTTCAGCATGTATATCTTACATAGGTTTTGTTAGATTCATATCTAAGTACATTTTGGGGGGGAAGCTATTGTAAATGATTTTTTAAAAAATTTTGGTTTTCAACTGTACATTGCTAGTATATGGAAATATGGTTGATTTTTATTTGTTGACCTTGTAATCTGTGACCTTGCTGAAGGATTTCATAGTTCCAGGAGTTTTTTTTTTTTTTTTTTTCCTTTTTGTCTTTTTTACTGACCGGTAACGGGATCGCAACCCTCGGTGTCATGCCCATACTGGGGACCGGCAACGGGATTGCAACCCTTGGTGTTGCGTCCGCACTGCGCTCAGCCAGTGAGCGGGAACCGGTCTCCACATGGGACCCGAACCCTCGGCGGGAGAGCCGCCGCACTCCCAAGCAGCGCACTCTCCAGTGCACCACCGGGCCGGCCCCAGGAGTTTTTTTTTAATAGATTCCTTGGGATGTTCTTTGTAGATAGTCATGTCATTTGTGAATAGGGACAATTTTATTTCTAGAGTTGTCTGTGTTCCCTCATCCTTGTAATGTGGTAATGTCCCTTTTTTTATTCCTGATAGTCTGACTTGTGTTCTCATTCCTCTCTCTCTCTCTCTCTCACTCTCTCTCTCTCTGTGAGATATGCTCATGGTTTACCATTTCATTGACCCCTTTTCAAAGAGCCAGCTTTTGGTTTCATTGATTTTTCTATATAGATTTTCCTCTTTTCAGTTTCATTGATTTCTGCGCTTTGTTTGCTTCTTTATGTTTGCTTTTGGTTTATTTTGCCTTTTTCTGTGTTAAAGTAGAAGCTTACATTACTGACTTCAGACCTTTTCTTGTTTTCTAAAATAACATTTAATGCTATAAATTTTCCTCCAAGTTTCGCTTTAACTGCACCCCACAAATTTTGATAGGTTGCAATTTCAGTTGAAAATATTTTCCGATTTTCCTTGAGACTTTCTCTTTGACCCATGAATTATTTAGAAACTTTGAAGACTTTCTTGTTATGTTTCCGTGATTGCTTTCTATTTTAATTCCAGTGTGGTCAGAAAGCATGCTTTGTACGATTTCACTTTTTAAAAATTTAAGGTTTGTTTTATAATGTAGGATATGGTCTATCTTGGTGAATGTTCCATGTACACTGAAAGTCATGTGTGTTCTGCTATCAGGTGTAGTGTTCTATAAATATCAGTTATATTCAAGAGTTTTCATGGTTTTTTTCAGTTCTATTTCCTTGCTGATTTTCTGTTTACTCCTTTTACCTGTTACTGAGGGATGAAAGTGGAAGTCTCCAGCTATCATTTTGGATTTGTTCTTTTCTCCTTTTAGTTCTGTTGGTTTTGCTTCATGTATTTTGAAGTTCTGTTGTTAGGAGATAGACATTTACAACGTAGTTTTCTTGGTGAGTTGACTCTTTTATCATTATGTAATGTCCCTTTTTATCTCTGGTAATTTTCTTTGCTCTGAAATCTGATTTGTCTGATAGTAATATAAAAACTCCTATTTTTTTTATTAGAATTTGCATCATATATTTTTTTCCGCCCTTTTACTTTTATTGTATTTAGATCATTATATTTGAAGTGAATTTCTTATAGACAGCAGATAGTTGGGCCATGACTTTTTATCCATTCTGATAATCTCTATCTTTTAATTGGTGTAGACCATTTGCATTTAACATAATTACAGTCATGCATTGCTTAATGAGAGGGATGCATTCTGAGAGTGTGTTGTTAGGCAGTTTTGTCGTTGTGTGGACATCGGAGTGTAGTTACATAAACCTAGATGGTACAGCTTACTACACACCTAGGCTAGATGGTGTAGACTGTGGCTCCCAGGCTACAAACCTGCACAGCATGTTACTGGACTGCATACTGTGTGGCTGATTGTAACACAGTGCTAAGTTTTTGCATATCTAAGCATGTCTAAACAGAGAAAAGGTACAGTAAATATGTGATATTATAATCTTAATGGACCACTGTCATATATGTGGTCTGTCATTTGCTGAAATATTATGTGGCATATGACTATACATATATGTTTGGATTTAGGTCTCTCATTTCCTTTTTTTGTATTCCCTCTGTTTTTCATTTCTTTCTTCCCCTCTTTTGGCTTCTTTTGGGCAGTTTGAACATCATTTAGTATTTCATTTCAATTTATCTATTGTGCTTTTGAATAAATGTCCAAAATGGGTTTATTTTAGTGCTTGCTTCAGGATTGCAGTGTACATACTTAACTTTTTGCAGTCTGTTTAGAATTTGTATTTTCCTTTTGAAGTGAATGCAGAAACTTCCCACCTTCTGGAGAGGTCCCTTTACCTTCTTCCCTCCTCTGTGGCAGTTGTCTTATCTTGACTGAGAACCCTGCAGACAATATTAAATTTTTTGCTTTCAACCATTGAACAGATTTTAAAGAACTCAAGAGAAAAGAGCCGTTATGTTAACTTAGATGTTGACGGGTTTCTTTTGCCTGTCTTTCATTCCCAATGTTCCACATTCCCTATGGCATCATATCTCTTTTGTTCAAAAAGCTGCTTTTAATATTTCTTTTAAAACAGGTTTATTGACGATGAATTCTCTTAGTTTTCCTCCATCTGAGAATGTCTGTATCTCACCTTCATTTCTGAAGTATACATTTGCTGGATATGAAATTCTGGTTTGATCTTATCTTGCAGCAGTTTAAAAACGTCACTCCACTAGCTTCTGGCTTCCGAGGTTTCTCGTGAGAACGCGGTAGTGCTGCAGATTGTTCTTGCCTGGTAATGTCTCTCTCTGCTCTCAGGTTTGAGAACGCGGTAGTGCTGCAGATTGTTCTTGCCTGGTAATGTCTCTCTCCGCTCTCAGGTTTGTTTCTTCATCCTTAGATTTCAGCAGTTTGATTGTTCTGTGTCTGGGCATGAATTCCTTTGAGCTTATTCTTTTCTGGGGTTCCCTGCACCTCTTCAGTCTGTAGGTTTGTATCCTTTACCAGATTTGGAAAGTTTTCAGTTTTTTTTTTATTCAAATACATTCTCAGCACCACAATCTTTCTCTTCTGGGACTCTGACGGCGTGAATATTAGATCTTTGTTATTATCTCACAGGTCTCTGAGGCTTTGTTCATTTTTTTTTTCCAGTCATTTTTCTCTCTTTTGTTCAGATTACATATTTTCAGTCATCTCTTTTCCAGTTCACTTGAGTTTTTCCTCTTTTATCTCCTTTCTGTTATTGATCCCATCCAGTGAATTTATTTCAGTTAATTATACTTTTTGATTACCAAATTTCTATTTGGTTTTTGTGTGTATCTTCTATTTCTTTGTTGAGACTTTCTATTTTTCCATTTGTTTCAAGAGTGTTCTTGATTGCTTCCTGAAGCATTTTTATAAAAGCTGCTTTACAGTCTCTGTCAGGTTATTCTAACCTTTGCCCCATCTCATTGGTGTTGTCTGTAGATTGTCTTTTTCCCACGTGAGCTGGGATCTTCCTGATTCTTCATACGCCCAATAATTTTGGGTTTTATCCTAGCTATTTTTAATATTATGATATAGGACTCTGGATCTTGTTTAAGTCCTCTGGAGAATGTTTGGCAGACAGTCAGCCTGGTTAGGTTCAGGCCTCAAGTTCTGACCCAGCTTCTGCGGGTGCTGGTTCCACTGTCTGTCTTGTTTTCAAATCCTTTGCATGGCTGTTTGGACCAGTGCTACCTGCATTCTATACAGTGGCCATCCTGGGACCTGGGCAGTGGTCTCTGTCAGTTCAGTTCTATCAGCACCAGACTCTAACCAGTGAGCTAACCAGCTAGCCGAGTCCAGTTCTGAAAATCTGCAGTGTGCTGGTGAGCCTCAGATCCATGTGTGTGCAGCCAGGAGGTGAGCCCAGGGGCTCACGAACGGCTTTCTGAGGCCGCTTTCCTGGAACCCCCCTCTCTGGAGTCTCCTTAGTACTTGCCTTCTGCTTCCTGGGGGTTCTCCTTTCTCATTCTCTGGGCAGAAAGCTGGAGCCCATCGTGCTGCCCCCTCTCCTGGCTGTTCCTGCATCTGGTTCCCTTCTGTAGGAGGACAGGAGGGAACAAAGTGAACTCACTGCCCATCAGTGCTGCCTCTTTCTGAATCTGTCTGCTACCTTGCACCTGTCAGACTCTTCATGTAGCTGCTCCACGCATTCTGTCTGGGTTTTGTATCTGTATTCAGTGATACAGGGAGGTGTATCCTTGTTCCATCCTACCCAGAACTAGACCTCTTAGTGATTTTTAAGATTAATTATACATCGCCCCATGGTATGAGTGATCATTATATCACTGGAATTCATTTTTGGTAAGTGATCCACCCATGTTCTTAATACAGTTGTACTTTGACTTGAATATCTGGTGTATTTGTACCAAAGAACTTATTTCTGTCGTTTTAGTTGTATGCTTTTCTCCCATACAGATGAGGTGTTCACACTTCTTCAGGACTTTGTCATGTCTACCACAGAGAGCATCTCTGAATTTATCCTCAGAAGACTTACTTTGAATGAGCTAACTAGTGTAAGTATCCATTGGAATAAATTTTTTCTTCTCACCATCATTTGAGTGATTATCGACTGGCAGTCACTGTATTAAACTGAAAAATAAAATTACTCTAATTTTCTCAAGGGGCAAGTCTTAGTAAGCAGGAAAAAACATGGACTTTGGAGTCTCCTATTTCCAATTCCTTCTGTTTTACTAACTGTGGCCTTGGGCAAGTTATGTAGCTCTTCTGAGCCTCAGTTTCCTCATCTGCAAAAGGGAGATAATACATTAAAAAAATGGTAATAATAACAAATGGAGATAATGCATCTACTTTCAGGGTCTGGGGAATTTCAGATGATATAAAATATTTTCAGTACTTTGCATGTTCAGTGCATGTTTGAGTCTCATATCTGAGACTCTGACTTGGCAGGTTTGGAATGAGACCTGTGTCTGCATGTGTGTGTAAGCTCCATCAGTGATTCTTAAATGCAATTAGGGTAGGGGACAGTAGGTTTTAGGTATAGAGGATGCACCAGCTCCTGTAACGTTACCTGCTGTCTGCATAGTATCCTAGCACCGGGCAGAGCACCTGGCACAGAGTGGATGCTCAGTAAAAACCAATTAATGAATACTTCCTGTGTGCTTTCTATGTGCCATAGGAGGCCTCCTATGGTATAGGAATAACACATTGGTATAGTAGTAAGAATTTAGGCCACCACTTGGTGTCAGTCCATTTATCGTACTTTCTCTTCATTTTTTCAAAAACCCTGTGATGGATAGATATTACTGTCTCCATTTTATGGGTAGGGAATCTTGCCCTAGGTCACAGAGCCAGTGAATGGTAGAGCTGGACTGAACCTGATTCCACCTGTGCATAATGTGTCCTTCCCAGTTCCAGCTCCGAGCTGCTGGGCAAGTCATGCAGCCTCTCTGAAGCTTCGTCTTTTTGTTGTGCAGGTGGTACAGTGATCTTCCTTGTGGGAATTGATTACCAAGGAAGTAGCATTTGCTATAATTGTTGTTAGTATTTATGATGTGCTAGCCCTGGCAGGTAAGAATTGGCAGAACATGCCTTCCAGGGTCTCATATCTTGGTGGGGAGACAGACAACTCAGCTGTGAAAGGTGCTGTGCTTGTGCTGAATGCAGAGAGAGTCACTGTGAGCAGAGGACACTCGGTCCTTAGCTCTGTGTGGGAGATTTTGGAAGGCTGCGTCCAGGAAATGACTTTCTCTCTGCTCAGTGTCTGGTTTTAGTACTTTTAAATAAAACAATTTATTATTTTCTGCCTGAACTCTTGTAGTTTTGTGAAAATCACAGACCCTGCTGGTACCCTTACTGTTTTTGTGTTTGTCTTAGGTTGCAGATCTTGATCGCTGCCATTTATACCTGACGGTATTAACTGAGCTCATAAATCTCCATGTGAAGGTCGGGTGGAAAAGCAATAACCCTATTTGGAGAGTTGTTACACCTTTGAAAAATGCATCCATCCGGCATCTTCAGGAGATGGACAGTAGACAGGTAATCCTCTTTGGTTCGGGGTTTGTGGTTCTGTTGAATAAGGCACACGTGGAATACATAATCGCTTGTTACACAGTATTTTGATACCATGAAAAGGATTTGCTGAAATTTAATTTTTAAAATAGTGCCCTCTGGTGGTAAGATGTGGTCAGGACTGGGACTCCTATCATAACAATGCACGTGTAACAGAGGCGGAGGGACTCCAGTTGTAGAGTCATTTACAGGCAGACAGTGGACTTGTAGCAGGTTTCTTGCCGCACGTGTCCAGCAAAGGTCCCTGTCATCAGTCTGGTGTCGGAGCCCTCCGTGCTTGCTTCCCACCTCATGCTTTTGCCTAGTCCATGTGGAGCTTCACAGACCACAGCACAGGCCGCGTCTCCCTCCTCGAGGCTTTTGTCCAGTCTGGTCCCTCCACAGAGAATGTCCTCCCCTCCAGTACACGCTCGTCAGTATCTGGTGACTCCTTTATGGTCCAGCTGAAATCTCGTTTCTCCTAGAGGTCGTCTTGGGTTTGCATCTCACTCTTTATTTTCCTGTTGCTCTTTATGCATCTTTTAGTGTTTATTCCTCTGTCTTGTTTTTGGAGTAATTTATATATATGTGTCTTCCTTGCTAGGTCTTACATCTGAAGGCATTTCTTAAACATTACATAAGAAAGCTGTAGTGGCGTGGAGAGCACAGGCTTTGCACTTAGACTTCCTGGGTGTGAATCCTGGCTTCATCCTTGCTGACTGTGTGACCTTGGGGAAATCACTCAACCTCTCTGTGCCTCACTTACTGCACCTGCAAAATGGGGATTATCGGGTTGATGTGGGGATTAAAGCAAGCCCATACATGTTAAATCTTTAGAACAATGCTAGGTACGTGGAAAGTCCTCAATAAATTTAGCTATTTTCACTTAACACACGGGAGATGTTTTACAAAGTTAAACCAAATCGTAATCTAACTAGTCCAGCTGCCACTAAAACCAAGAAGCTACTTTCGGCTGCTTTAATAATTTAATGTTTAAAGTAGTTTTCAAGAACTATCCTAAAAGGAAATAACAGAGAAAATGATCAAAACTTCAACATCTGGTCTAGTCCTACTCTTTGTGTTATGAAAGAACATGGTGGGTTTTAAATGTAGAACGAAATCATGAACCATTCCACAGTAATTCTTTTTCTTAAAAAGTGGCTTTCTTTAGTAATTCACGGAGTGACATTGCGGTTAACGAGGACCACAGTGGGCTCATAGGTAACACTAAATTGTATTTCGTATGCTGGCAGTGTCGATGTGTAAAATTTATCTGTGGAGATGCTGACACCGGGACGTAAGGACCGAGAAGGGGACAGTTCCTTTCTGATGCCAAGAGCACTGGTGGCACGTTTGAGAGCCACTGCGGTCTCTGCGCAGCTGTGCTCTGTGGCCGTGCCTTCGCCGACGCTTCTTGCTCCTTGGTTAGACATTGTTGGTCTTCTCTTTAAGTGTGAATCCAGGCTGTCTTGGTTACCCTCCTTGTATTTCTACATGTAGAGCTCCAGGTGTGTTACATGAAAAAGCCCATTAATTTAATCTTCACATGAACCCTGTGAAGTGGATTCAATTACTGTCCCGATTGTGCAGGTGGGAAAACTAAGGCTGGTTACCCTCCTTGTATTTCTACATGTAGAGCTCCAGGTGTGTTACATGAAAAAGCCCATTTATTTAATCTTCACATGAACCCTGTGAAGTGGATTCAATTACTGTCCCGATTGTGCAGGTGGGAAAACTAAGGTGTGGAACATGCATGCTCGTGCTGTGCTGGGATCAGCGCTCAGCCAGGATGCAGACCCCGTCTGGGGCCAGTCCAGCTCTTAGCTGCTGGTATGCGACCTCGCCAGAGGTCGTGTACAGCTGATTGGAGGAATTATTTGTAACCTGGAGCCTTTTTTGAAAAACATGCTTCAGTGTACAGTTAAAATAAGATCGACCCACAGGACTGTTGTGAGCACATGGGAGTGTTAGCAGGCGGGCTGAGAAGTGCTGAGTCACCCTCAGTGCTGGGCTCTGTGTGTCGCTGTTCTATCGTGTGCTCGTCCCAGGGACCATCCACCACATGCGAGACCACATTGTCTTCTTACTGGGAATGGCTCTGTCCCCATTGCCACCTTACCCTGTTTACTGCCCGTCTGCAGGGAAGTCATAAGGCTGAGTGATGGGTGCCGGATTTCCCGTAGACCAGAGACCCGGGTCCTTCCTGATGGGACTTGATGTGCTAAATAAGAGCCCATTGTGTCCCCTCCTCAGGAGCTGACGCTGGGCAGTCAGATTCAGAGGGTGGTCAGCATGGCTGTCTTGGCCGCGGTGTGCGGGACCGTGGACCAGAGGCCCGAGCTACAGCTGGATTCTCTCGGGGCCGGACCCTTGGAAAGGTTCCTTTCTTCCCTCCATCTCAACCACGTGCTGCAGAAGCCCCAGGCAGAGGAGCGTGGCAGGTGCGCCGGGGCGTCTTCATTGCCAGGTTTAAAAATCCATTTTCGTAGTTGGCACTGAGGTAATGAGTGACTGCCCTGCGTTGCTTACAGACTTTATAGAATTTTGGAGATGCGGCTCCTTCAGGGTGAAAATGTATTACTACCACATTATTTGTCTCTGTTACTGGAAATCTGCCAACTTTTCTGCACGTAGTTTTCAGTGAATCATCTCAGATGAGTGAAAGCGTCTGCTTTGAAGGTATTCAGAAAGTTGAGGTGTATGAGGTTGCCTTATTTTTGGGTAGATAGGATATTTGGTGATGACCGTGAATCATCTCAGATGAGTGAAAGCGTCTGCTTTGAAGGTATTCAGAAAGTTGAGGTGTATCAGGTTGCCTTATTTTTGGGTAGATAGGATATTTGGTGATGACTATTTATATCTGCTTTCCCTGCTTCTCAGGATTGCGTCCTACATGGAAAAGGAATGGGGACAGACCTGGGGCAGAGTGGCATCGTGACTTTGTTCTTTATTTCAGTTTTTCTGAAGAATCAGCATCTTCCCAAGGATGGGGCAAAATAGTTGCACAGTATACTCACGATCAGTGGGTCTGCCTCTCCTTCCTATTGAAAAAATATCACACCCTCATACCAACCACCGAGAGTGTCGCTCTGGAGCCCCTTCTGCCCGCTGTTCAAATGCCAGCGAGGACTTTGAAGTCTGCCCTAGAGGCCCTTGCAGTTCTTCCTTCTGACCAAGTTTTACCTGTGTTTCACTGCATGAAAATTTTGGTTCCCAAGGTAAGATATAGTGAATCATGAACTGAAGAATAACTCTAGGAACAGCAATCAGTTTCTGAAATTTAATGATAAAATTGTATTTCTTTTCTTCTTTTTCTACCAGCTTCTGACCTCCCGTGAATCACTCTGCATTGAGTCCTTTGACGTGGCTTGGAAAATTATATCTTCCTTAAGCAACACTCAGCTGATATTCTGGCCTAATTTAAAAGCTTTTGTGCAGTTTGTTTTTGATAACAAAATTCTTACCCTTGCTGCAAAAATCAAGGGTCAGGCATATTTCAAAATAAAAGAGGTAATTTTCTTTTCTTTTTAATTCATGTGACCTGTAGCACATGAGGAAGAAGAGAGGTATATTTGGAACTAGGTATTGGACTTGTTGTAATTCATTCACTCAGTCAACACATATTTCTGAGGCTCCTTAAATGTCATGCATAGGAACTAGGCAGTCTGACAGATGGGGAAGACAAGGGAACAGTGACCTGTGAGCTACTTCGGCCTGGCAAACATTGTTTATTTTGTTCATACAGTGCTTAAAAGTTTGAATTAGTTGGCAGCTTTTGAGAGTTGGAAAATCTGTATGAAGATCTGGATTTTCCCCTTCTCTTGGGAAATCAGATGGTCCGGCAATGCTGGTCGTTCTTCCAGGACAGCAGTCACCCAGCTGGGTAGGCGCTGGCATGTTCTTCTTTCCCTGCTCCACAGCCAGTCATCCTTCTCCTGGTCCTTGCACTTGTGCTGCGGTTTTTTTCTTATGTACAGAAATATTTCTCTGGATATAACCTGTATCAAAAGGTCCTTCTGGTTTCTGGAGGTATTTGCAGCCATCGATCTAGAAAGGAACGTAAGGAGATGGAATTCCGTCATGTGGGAATTCACGTATACCTCCTGGTCCAAGAGGAAGATGGAGAGTCAGTCCTTTTACCACCCTGCTGTCCCGTGCTGCCTCTCTGGGTCCTTTTCTGCCCCACAGTACATACTAGAATCCGGGGTCTGTGCTCAGGCAGAGGGAGGCCACTGGCGAAATGCAAAGAAAATGGAAAACGTACAGAGTGTGCAGTGTTTTTCCCTCTCATTCTACTGCTTTGGGCAGTTGTTTCCCTTGAAGAGTTCTGGATGAATATCACTCTCAGTAAAATTTTATTTATTTTTGAGAGATGAAAAATTAGTATGTTGTGATTATTGATCATCTTGCAAGATTACCCTAATGATAATGAATTTAAAATTTTGTAGACTATTCATGTTTATGTTGAAACTGTTATTTGCATCCATTTGAGTAACAGTTTTTAGCAACACTGTCTTTTTATTTTTAAAACTAAATTGGTTGAAGGGTAAAATGACCATTGTGTTTCATTCCAGATTATGTACAAGATCATTGAAATGTCTGCTGTGAAAACTGGAGTCTTCAACATACTGATAAGTCACTGCTGCCAGTCTTGGGTAATGTCTGCCTCAGATGCATCCCAGGGATCTCTACTGAGTGCTAAAAATTACAGCGAACTTGTCCTTGAGGCTTGTGTATTTGGAACTGTGTTTAGGCGGGATCAAAGGTAAAAAGATACCATTATTTTAACCTGTTGCAGCTTATATTAAGTACCTACTCGGGTAGAATTATGTGTTTGTTTTGAGGCTTTCAATAAGAAGGATATAAAGTATTGGTTGACTTTAACTTTGGGGATGTACTTTTTTCTATCTAAAACCTGTTGTTCTTTATCAAATGTTTTTTATGGAAAGACTTATTCAGGACGTACAGACCTTTGTTGAAAATCTCGGACATGACTGTGCAGCAAATGTCGTTATGGAAAAGTAAGTGTGGTAGATTTTCTGTGTTTTGATATAAACAAGATATTCAAAATTGAATGTCATATGACAGACATTCTATATTTATTAAATTTAATGAATGTTTACCAGTGGTAGCTAATCTACTATATGACGTTGAACAAGCCTTCAAGAATGTTAGAAATTATATTCCCTTGCTAATATGTTTTTTTCACATCTTTTACTATTTACCAAAATTTGATAAAGTTTAAATAATTTTTAGTGTAAAGCCCATCGTAAATAAGGAAATGATTCTGGAGAACAACCCTTATCCCTCTTCTTTCTGGGGTGGGGTGAGGGGGTGATGATTAGCATAAATCCTTTTTTGGCTGTAAAGTTTAACATACAATTAAAATTCATTACTTAGTGAGTCAATATGTTACACACAAAAATAGAATCGCTCTTGGAACAGGCCCTAACGTGTTGTTTTTTAAACCACTTTATTGAGGTGTGATGTAAAAAGTGTACATGGTTAATGTATACATAAATCACCTGCCACCCTTCACCAAATAGATACATTTTTTCATTTTTCATTTATTTTTTGTTTTCTTGGCTGGTTTAGTATAGCAACAAAAGGAACATCTCCTAGTTGATGGTTGCCAGATACTTTGATTTCTCCTAGGCAGGTGCTTCGTGGTTAAATTAAAGTGACATTTATTCACATTGTAACAGTCACAGTGAAATGGGGAAGTGCTCATTAGCAGTTTCACTTCCTTTACCTTTTCACACTTGGGTCCTGGACAGGCTGGGTGTTGGTGCTTCTGGAGTCTGCCCTCACACAGGAATGCGTGTTTATGATTTACGGGGGTGAGGGCAAGCCCTTGAGACCTTTAACATGTGTTCTTGCCCCTGAGTGAGCAGAGGTGTCCGTAGTACTCTTTTCAGGAGGAGTTTCATGAGCTCTGATCTGTTTCATCCACAGATAAGATATTACTGACCCAGGATCGGTAGCACATGCATTGTTTTTATAGACGTCTGGATGGCTTTGTGCCCGTTCATACCTTCTGCACATGCTCTCCTTTTAATACATTGATTTGTTATTTTCTACTGTCTATCCTGAATTAAAAAGTATTGTCATTAAGTATAGACCTAGTTAATTCTAGAAAACTTTGGTTTTGATATGTGTTAAGATATTTTGAAACTAATATATGATGTATTTTTTTCTGTTTTCAAAATATATTGACATAGTTTATCACTTTATATTTTTTAGTACTAAAAGAGAAGACTGTTATGTGAGAATTTGTGCTGTCAAATTCCTGTATTTATTAGATGGCTCAAATATGTCTCATAAGTTGTTTATGGAAGATCTTGCAATCAAGCTATTAGATAAAGTAAATATGACTTTACTTTAAATTATCTTTATTTTAAACAAGTCAGAGTTTGACATTTGCTCTTTACGTTGCTAGAATATGTATTTCTAAATATTTTTCTTCAGTAGAAAACATGAAGGGTATATACTTTTATTTAAATCTTGGTTAGTAATTGTTCAACTCAACTTTGGTTTTAGAGAATCATCTAAACTTCACTTGTGTATGTTTCAGAACCAGTCAAAACCAGTTACCGTATCCACACAATGTTTTATGTAAGAAATGGAATAAATGGATAAAAATTTGGCAATTGGCATAATGTAAGAATTGATTGGTGTGATTGGAAAGTTTATGAACGATATAGTTACCGTATCCACACAATGTTTTATGTAAGAAATGGAATAAATGGATAAAAATTTGGCAAGTGGCATAATGTAAGAATTGATTGGTGTGATTGGAAAGTTTATGAACGATATTATATTGTTATTTCTAGATCTGGGTTGTGATATTTGTCTAAGACTGATGAAGATTTCTTATTCAGACAAAAAGAATCCAATTAGTTTTTTTTTTTTGAGCCTGCTAAGTCATTTATAAATGACCATTACAGTGTCTGCAGGACAGGTTTAATAAACCTGGGGAGAGGATAGCAAGGGGTAAAGCCGAGTGTCACACTCTGTGCCCCTTTTATTCTTCAAGTGACTGAGGCGGAGTCTCGGTCTGCTTTCTAACCTTGGTTTGGATGCATGTATGACTATAAAGCCCGTTTAAGTTGCCTGTATTAAATAGGCGTGTTCCTTCCACTTCTGTTTTCTGAAGGTAGCAGAGCAGCTTTATTATGTAAAACCCAGGAAGCATTTTTTATGCAACAGTTCCCTCCTGTGTGCTGTTGGGTCGGGCAGATGTCACAAAGGAAGTTGAGTGTCCTCGGCTCCTAAAGGAGTGTGGAATCTGAGTTGGTGGGAGCAGGCTGTGCCATCAGAAGGAAAACGTGCATTGGGACACACACATAGCTACTTAGATGGAGGAGGGGCGAGGGGAGGGGTTAGGGGAGGGCTGAGCAGCTGGGCGAGGCCCGTGTGTGCCTGGGAGACACGAGGCTACCCGCTGCTGCCCGTCAGATCTGCTGTCATTGGTCACCCAACCAGTGAAGTGGCGGGAACAAGGATGGAGACGGAGCAAGTGGGGACAGTGGCTGTAGCCCTTTTAGCGGTTTGCTCTGAAGAAGGAAGAATAAAGGGTCGTGCCTCAGCGGCATGGGATACAGAGGGGACTTAAAGATGGGAGGTCACTGAGTGTATTTGTATGTTAAAGGAAGTGACCTGGTGTGGGGGTATGACGGTTGTGGAGAGTCCAGCAGTGAACACACAGGCAGAACCCTTGACTGGCCACTCTCGCCCACAGGGATGGCTCTTAGGAAAAATCAACTGAAAATGACAAGTATTGATTAGCAAGGGTGGAAGGAATCGGAGCCCTCCTACACTGCTGGTAGCCATATAACATGGTGTGGCCGTTTTGGAAAACTGGAAAAAAGCAAAACGATTGTCTAGCATAGTAATTCTTAAGGTGTGTTCTCGGGGCCGGCAGCATCAGCACCCCTGGGGACCTCGTTAGATATGCAGAGGCCTGGGCCTCGCCCCCCTGTCTACAGAATCAGAATCTCTGGCGGTGGGGCCCAGCGATCTGCATTTAATCTGAAGGGGGTTCTGGAGGCAGTGGAGTGTAGGAACCACTGGTCTAGCAGTAATGAGGGCCCAGCCACAGCTGGAATATGTGTTTGTAGTGAAGTTAGTTGGGGCTGGTGAGTTTTCTTTTCTTCAGCAGTGCCTGGCAACTTGAAAGAAGGGTGAGAAAATTTAAGACCCCTGGATGGGTTCAGAAGTAGGGAATTTGCAGATGGCTTTGAGATTGTAGTGAAAAGAACTGACGGTGCTCTTGAAGATGTAGAGCTTACTCGGGGTGCAGGTTGGATCGGGAGGCTCGTGAAACTAGGAGAGAGTCAACAGACAAGCAGAGAGAGGAAAGATCTTTCTGAAAAAAGGGGCATGTTGAGTGACACAAGTGAAAGGAAAGATGACTGTGCTGAGAAGGAAATTTCAGCACTTCCGAGTGAGGACGGTGACTCAGGGAGGCCTGATGGCACTTTTGTTGATGTGAAGATGCTTCTTCTGAATGCACAGGGTGGCCACCCTTGTGATCCGTGTTTAGTTGCACTGGACAGCAGTCTACGAAGCCTAAAAACACCTATATCAAAAGAAAATTTCAGGCCGGCCCGGTGGCGCACTGCTACAATGCGCTGCTTGGGAGCGCGGCGGCGCTCCTGCCGAGGGTTCGGATCCCACATACAGACCGGTTCCCGCTCACTGGCTGAGCGAGGTGCGGGCGCAACACTGAGGGTTGCGATCCCGTTGCCGGTCCCGGTCCGGTACGGGAGTGACACTGAGGGTTGCGATCCGTTGCCGGATACGAAAAAAGACAAAAAGGAAAAAAAAAAAAAAGAAAATTTCCCCAAAGAGCTAATAATACAGGAAACTATGACATTTTAATCACTGTCCAGAGTCACTAAAATCTGTATTAATTTAGCTTTCGTGATGAAATTTCTCCCCAAAGAGCTAATAATACAGGAAACTATGAGATTTTAATCACTGTCCAGAGTCACTAAAATCTGTATTAATTTAGCTTTCGTGATGAAATTTCATACACACTGTAGTGCATAGAAGGAGACCATGGAGGCAGAAGGATCACGAAGTTGGGAAGTAGATGAGGATCATCTGCGTTCATTGAAAATGGTCGTGGAGGTGGTGAATGACTTCCTTTCCACCTTTAGGACATGTGGAATGTTAGCAGGCACTTCAGTGTGGTCTTGGCTTAGCGACTAAAGATCTGCGTTCATTGAAAATGGTCGTGGAGGTGGTGAATGACTTCCTTTCTACCTTTAGGACATGTGGAATGTTAGCAGGCACTTCAGTGTGGTCTTGGCTTAGCGACTAAAGTGCTAACAGCTGCGGTGACAGAAGAAAGCACTGCGGGTTGCGGGCGTGGGGAGCACAGAGCCGGGAGAGCCAGCGCAAAGGCTGGGTGCTGCCGCCACCTCTGTGTCTGGAGATGGCACTGCTCTGTCTTCTGGGTCGCTCCTGTGTTGGTGGCACAGGTGTCAAATCTCAGTCACCATTACTCCAAACATGAGCAGGACAAAGGGGTGTGAAACAGGAATGGCTCGCAGTAGTAGGTGTCAAACGTCTCAACCTCTTCTCGCCCCCCACCCGTATTTATCTCTTTTATGTTCCTTTTTCTAGTCCTTAAAGCAAATAAACAAAAGCAACTAAGTTCAGTGTTTTGAAAGATCTTTGAGGGTTGTTCCTTTGGTTTTCTTATCCGCCTACTATTTCAGGGACAAAAAGCCCCCGTGCCCAATTTAACCCTCTTACATTTCAAGTTGTCATTGATTTTGTTTTCATGAATCACAAGTTCAGCAGGTAATTTAATACGGATCGCCTCCCCTCCTCTCCCCAGGATGCGTCGGTGTCCGAGTCCAGGACCTGCTATGTGAATTCTCTGCAACACAGGGTGAAAAACCGAATCTGGCAGACCCTGCTTGTACTTTTCCCCAGGTTTGATCAGGTATAATATTTATTACATTTGTACTTTCTAAGCATAATGTTTCATATGAACAGACTAGTTTGTAAAAACTGTCTTGTGCTGTTTTAAAACTGGAAAAGTATTCTGCTTAAAATTTATACTTCATTTCTTAAAGTGGAAGTTATTCAGGTTTTTTTTAGTAGAGAGAGAACATTAAGGCATTGTACACATAAATTAGAAGCTGGTTTACATGACCCCATTTAATTTTTTTTCTCTTCAGGATTTTAATGTAACATTTTAACTGTTTAGAGTCTCATGCCATTTGATTAGAAAAATGTAAACACCTAACTCCTAATTTGTTATTTTGCAGTGTTATCGTTCTGGATTACCTGTACTCTAGAGACCAAGCAAACTGTATCATTTGGGAAGAGATTATAATTTCCTGTGGCAAATTTTTTCACCTTTAATTTCATGACTAGTGTAGCCACATAAACCAGTTAAGCAAAGGCCGAGATCTCTGTCTCTTACAGCAGAATCTCTTTACCCAAAGTTACCTTTTCTCTTCCCTGAGGCTAGGAGCAGTCAAGTGGACTGTAAGAAAATAGATCATCATTAAGAGAAAGTGGTGTGAATACCTCACGCAATTTTAAAAAATATTTTTGGATGCAAAAAAATTCTCTCAGACTCTAAAGCTTCCTGCTGTCATCCCCACCCTCTTTTAAATGTTTGAGAGAATTTAAAAAACATATCAGTTTTTTGAATTACAATTTTATGAAGCCTTATATTGTATCTGTGAGACAGACACATGTCAGTAATAGCGTCAAGTATATCCAAATAAATTATTTGGAAAAATTCAAGAGGAAATAGCTAGAAGAGCTTCTTGTGGGGAGTGGTGTTGGTGGCCTTGTGTGGATGCTGCAAGTTTTTACCATAGACCTTTTAATATTATTTGATTGTTAAAATGCTGTGTATGTTATACTTCATTAGACATAAAAATGCATTAAAAAAATTAACATTTTAGAAATGCTTTACTAGGTCACTGAGAGCATTTTTTTTCTTGGAATGGAAAGACCTTCTAGAGAGAAGGATCACACTGGGGAGGGTGGGAGGTGCCCGCAGGGGGCCCACGAGGAGGAAGACAACCGGCAGGTCTGCTGGGGCGCGGCCACTGCAAGAGGTTCAAGCTGTGCTGTCTTTTGGCCACACTTAACCTTCAGAGTAGTCTTTCACGGTAGGCCATAAATGTCCCCATTTCACATGTAAGGGCACCACCGTGCAGAGAGGCTAGGTGGCCTGCGGGGACGCTGCGCGGCTGTGGGGTGGTGGAGATGGAGTTCAGAGTCAAGTCCAGCTCCAGCGTCCACGCTCTGCTTCTCAACACCATCTCAGGGCTCAGAACCAGCTCTTCCGCTCTTTTTCTACCAGGTAGAAATGCTTTTAAGATAGATTTTTCCTCTGTAAAATAAAGAAAAATACATAATATTATTTTTTATATGCTTATATAAATAGGCACTGTTTCTCACCTGCGACTCAGGTGTGTTGGGTTACCCGGATAGAAGTACAGTTTTGAAGAGAAGGGTGGGCAGGGGAAGGGTGAGTTTGGAGCTTAGGTTCTCAGCGAGAGGACAGCAGTGGCAGCTGTAGGCTGGACAGGCCAAGGAGCAGGAGGACACACGGTCCGAAAGAGGACACAGTGGCCCAAGACCTGCCTTCTGCAGTGCGTGTCCCTCCTGCAGACTTTGGCCTTCAGGCCAGCAACGGTTCCAGGTGCAGGCCCTGGCGTCTTGGCAGATCTTGATTTGAATGGGAATTCTGTCACTTAATAGGTATGTGACTTTGGGAAGGTTATTCAGCTTTTCTGAGTCTTTTCCTTTCCCTGTGAAAATACAGATGACAATCACCCTCCTTATAGAATTGATGTCTGAACTGTAAAGTACTCGGTAAAGTACCTCACTGTTTCATTTCATTTTAAAAACATAAAACAGTTTTTAAAGGGTCGTTGCTTGGAGAGTTGCAGATTCAATAAATTACTTATGATAAAACTTACAGCTTTTTTAAAAATGGGGACTTTTAAAATAAAATTAATAACTAAAACATAACACTTTAATGTGTGAAATTTATTTTTCTCAGAATTTCATGAATGGAATTATTGACAAGATTTTCCACGCTGGTTTCATCAACAATCAAGCATCCATAAAATATTTCATAGAATGGGTTATTATATTGATTCTTCATAAATTCCCTCAGTTTCTTCCAAAGTTCTGGGATTGTTTTTCACATGTAAGTAAAGGAGATTTTTCAGATTTTTTAAAATTAGGAAATGATTTTGACTATACTGGGAGATTGGTTTCACATTAATAGTTTTTGACTCTCGGTTGCTCTAATGTATTGACATCATAAGTTATGTTTTGCAAGATCTGAATGCATTTAGGAGACACAGGTCGCTGGCATTTGTCTTGCATGTATTGTAGTTTAGTGCTCTTGCATAGCTTTTCCCTGAGCTCTCTGAAGTCTTCTTCAAGATGATCCTATTGACCTCCTGAGCCTTCTCCCTGTCACCCCTCTGCCATGCCGGCCTCATCACCTCCTGCTGCCCTGCCTCAGTTACCTGGTGTCTTTGCCTCACCTGTCCTCTCCTTCCTTCCCCCTACACCTGCTCCTCCCGGCCCCCTGCACCTGCTCCTCCCCGCCCCAGAGGCCTGGCCCCTTGCGATGTGAGCGTGCCCTTGGCTCTCCTACTTGGTTGAGCTGTTTGGTGCTTTACGTCCCCACTGGCTGCTGTGTGTGTTGGCACTTGGCTCTTGGAAGCTCCTGCGTGCACCCTGGCCTGGGGCCACTGAGGGAAGAGGCTGCCCTCCTGTCGCTCACAGCATCCACACGCTGCCGGGCACGGGCACGGGCATGGCCTGTGTCAAGCCTCGAATGAGCGTAAGCTTATCTGGTTCCTTTTTCAGGGGGAAGAAAAACCTAAAACAAGCGTTTGTACATTTTTAGCCGTTTTGTCACATTTGGAAGTCATAACTGAAGACATTCCAGAAAAGGTGAGTTTAAAGTGTTCACAGGAAGAGCTTAAACTTCACCATCAGAGAACGAATTTTATGTTTCTACCAATTTTTTGAAAATGTAGAGCAACCCTTGTATTTTTTGCCATTTCTGCCCGTCCCTTCCACTGTCCCCCGAGGTGTGTACATTACACGTTCGGCACAAATCCACAACAAGGTGCCCCCACTTACACACACACACTGAGGAGTGCTTGAGTCCTTCCAGATTCAGAGGCAAATGAGTTGGTAATTTTTGTTGATATAAATGATTCTTAATTTTATACAAGTACTTAGGAGTTTGTAAATGGGACTTTCCTTATTGTGTTCCTTCCCCAAGTGGTAATCGTCTGACAAATGTTTGCACAAAGAAACTTACGGTCGGAGTATTACAGGCTGAGGGTGATACAAATGACTGTCATCGTTTGGTGCACCAAGTGTGGTTTTGTCTTTCTCGAGTTTAGAGCAGATTCCCTAGTGGATTATCACACAGATGAACAAAAATGTGGCTAATTCTGTTTAATCACTGTGTCAGCTGTGAAGAACTTAGGAGAACCTGCCAGTAAGGTTTAGAGCAAGATTCTGTATGGCTGGATCTACAGAGAAGAATGTCCTAATATATTGTAACCTCTAAGAGAAAACTTAATACCGGGAATAAGAAGTGTTGTCAAGTCTTGAAAGTGACATAAAAATACAGGGGGAAAGTTCCCTAGAGTTTTTTAAAGTGTGCTAGTTTTTAAACAGTGATATGTTTTTTATTAACCTGTTCATCAATTCTAAGACAGACTTTTCTCCCCACCACGTTTTAACTTCTCAACCCACACTAACCTCTTAAATTGGCGGTGTGTTTCGCGGTGCGTCCGCCAGATGGCAGTGTGCTCCAGGTATGGGAAAACGTGTGTTCACACCTTCTGGTGAGATCAGGAGAGCTCCAGCGTCAGATAACATCTGATGTTGTCTTCCTGTGTTAGATATGTGCAGGAAAGAGATTTGCTCACAATCTGTTAAGAAAGGTAAAACAGACCGGACGCTGTGCCATTGCAGGGCAGGGAAATACCTTGGGAATAGTTTAGATATGTTCTGAAAATGAATTTATCTTTGAAGATATTCGTGTTACATCTCGTATAAATAACATGTTATTTTTCCATTAAGCCCTTTTCGTACTTGCTATGTATGACATATTCTAGACTTACTTTTTATTTTCAAAGCGTCCAGAAAGGAATGCTGATTAGTGGGATGGAATAAGCTCAATTTCAGCATCTTCTGGGGGGAAAATAATCTAAATTGACAAACCTAAGGAAAGGCCAAACTAGTTTGCTTTATCATTCTATTTCAAATTTGTAAAGTCCATTGTTACTTAGATAAATGTGTTTTGTTTTGTTTTGTTTTTTGAGATTTCTTGGAAACAGTCATTTAAGACTTCCCATTTTCTTCAAAGTATGTTACTTAACCTGTATGTGGGATCTGTACTTAGAGATTCGAAACTTGTCAAACAGAAGAGAGGTCAGAGCACTAAATGTTCTATAGAAGTTGAAAGAAAAGAAAAAAGCCTTAGTCATGCTCATGGTTACATATTGTCCCATCAGCTCTTTCAGTGTGTACAGACCTTGTCACCAGGTGCAGTGAGCAGCATGTGAGAATTCAGCAGAACTTTTTACACTGACATAAGTGGAAACATCATTTAATCCCGAAAAGGTGCTACATCTCAGCCTTGGCCAAAAGATCACTAGCAAGACCAACATTTTTGAGTGTAGGATCCATAGGAGGTCTGTCTTCCATATTGAGAATTACAGTGGATTTCTTTCTCGTTTACACATAATATTTCCTAGCTCCCAGATCATGGTTTTCGACACCATTCTCCAATAAAAGGAACCAGGGTTCCTTGGAGAAATGGCCGAGGCTAGAACTGGTGCAGAAATGTGCAGGGTGAGCCTGGAATGTCTGGTAGCATCAAAAAGTGAGGCAGTGCTCCCACACGTGTGCACGAGGTGGGACGGGCACGCACAGGGACACGGGAGTCCACGGAAGGCACTCGCGGCGGCTCGCGCTGAGACAGCTGCAGCAAGAGTCAAGTGGTGTTGGATTACAACCCAAAGAATAAATGTCCCTGAGCCCACACTGACATACATAAATGATTGAATAAAGAAATGGGAGGGATGAGGCAAATCTGTACAAAAGTCCAAATAATTCGTATAGATTCTGTGCCCTCAGGGAGGAGGAGCATAACTTCCCCCCCCCCTTAAATGTGGCTTTTCTAGTGACTTCCTTCCAAAGAGGACAGCATGGAAAGGGGGAGAGAAGAGCTTTACAGCAGGGACATCTGACAGCTGATCAAGCCAGGTTGACAGCGGGTACCCTTAATGCCGTGATCACAATGGCTCTGTACCACGTGGTTTGCCGCAAGAAACCACAGCCCCAGGCTCATGAGAAAAACATCACACAAGTCTCAACCCAGGGATATTCTGCAAAATGCAGACCAGTGCGCCTCCGACTGCCAGTGTTGTTAACAAGGACTACAGAATGATAATGATTAGTTATTTATATTACTTTTTGCCTGTCTTTGATTTTTAAGTTATCTTCTAATGAAACTTTGGTCGTTATGGTTAACCTGCCTTGGTTTTCGACTTCTAGAATATGACTGAATATTTAATTACGTATCATTCAGAAGCTTGCTTCTCCATGTAGCCTTTCTAGATGGGCCCTGACTAGTTCTCCTTTATCTGCTGTGTTCACAGATGGTATTTTCACACTTATTTGTCACACAGAGATGGTCACATATATAGTACAGTTGTGTGTGTGTGTCTCTCCCAACAGCGTCCTTGTGATGCTGGCAGTACAGTGACCTTTGATAAATGTTGATGACATGTTGAATAAAGGAATGAAAGAAAGGAACGTAAGAAAGAGGACGTCATATGTCACAACAGGAGGGACACATTCTGAGAAACGTGTTGTTAGGCAGTTTTGTCGTTGCATGAGCACCACAGAGCGCACTTACACACACACACGGTGTAGCCTGCTGCACACCTGGGCTACTGTGTGGTGTAGCCGTTACAATCTCATGGGACTGCCGTCGTATATGTGGCCTGTTCTTGACTGAATTGTCGTTTTGTGGGGCGCAGCTGCATTTACATCTGTGTTTTATCCTTCTCAGAGAAACTTTGAGTAACTGAACTGTGTTCTAAACCATTGCTGCAGCATTTGGTAAACTATTCTGTGAATATGGTTGTTTTTAATCAGTCAGTGGGAACTAACTGGGCTGCTCAGCTGGGTGCAGCCCAGAAAGCCTTTCTAGATGTCCCTTGGTGGGGCTGCGGGGAGTTCATTTGGTACGAGCATCGGAATAGCTTCTGATATTTTATTAAAAGTTTGGGTCCTTCTGGTTTCCATATTAATGTGAGGGTACTTCCAAAAGTTCATGGAAAAACAGAATTAAAAGATGAGTGAAGCTTTCCATGAGATTTTGGAAAGTGGCCTCATGTGTCGCTCCCTTTGACTTTCAGTGTCTATTGAACTATGCGATTTCAGACACCCAGGGGTGTCGTTGCATGACATCTCCAGGCTGTGAAGCCTGAAGTTTGCATGAGAAGTTTAGGCCACTTTATTTTTCTTGTCACTTCTTAATTTTCCTGTCACCACTTGGTGCTCTGTGGGCCCACAGTGAACACAAGGGAAGACAGAGCAGCTCAGAAATCAGTGACGAGGACGAAAATGCACTGTACGTGGTGTCTTGCTTTAGAAGCACCTTGACGTTCAGCAGAAGTTGGCCTCTTGGGTATTTCTAGCTTTTTCAGCCCAGGGCAAAGTAGTAAGTGAAGGAGGATACATTTTTAAAACATTGTCGTTATGTAATGGTTAGCGGAAAAGTACTTTGTCCAAGTTAACCCAGGTCCCGGAGTATGGGAAACTGTATTGCAGCATTCACGACAACTAGTGAGCTGGGGGAACGGTTGTTCTCGAGAAACCTGCGAACGTCAGTGCACCAGATTTTTCCAGAAGGGGAGGATGAGAAGCCCTGCTAGCAAACCAGTGAAATAAGGCATACCAGTAGGACGTCATCGTGTGTGTACCTTTTTTTGTCATACGGACAAGGGTAAAAGGCCCGTGTTCACATTTGAAGAATCTTCCCCCTTCCTTTCAGAAACTCATTCTGAAGCAAGCCCTTGTCACCGCACTGCAGTGGTGTCTCAGCCACAATTTCAGCGTTCGGCTGTACGCTCTAGTTGCCCTTAAGAAAGTCTGGAACCTGTGTCAAGCATGGCGTGTGGAAGACGCGGACGCTCTGACCTCTGTGGTTGAATCCATCCTCCGTCAGGTGGAGAGTGCGCACGGAGCCGGGTAGGGAGCCGGGGCCTGTGTCCCCCCAGCAGAGCCACCGAGGTGGGCGAGCAGGGCCCGCACCCTGGCTCCTCGGAGCATAGAGCCTGCGGGAGGCCGGGCACGCACAGCTCGCCATTGGGTGTGAAGTGTAGCTACAGTTCCCATGTCAGCTCCACCTTGACCTTTCACTGCTCTTTTACCCTCCAGCCTTTATTTTACACAAATCTTTTACGTATGTGTAGACGATTGTTCAGCACAGCCACACATTTCTCCTCTGTGTCAAAGGCTGCTGAGAAGCACGATCTGGCTTTAGAGACACGCTCCTTAACCTCTCGGCTACACTTAGAGCTGAAGGCTTGGTTCTTTTTCTTTTCTTAGAGAACTTTTCTATTCCCCAACCAAAGTCTTACACAGAAGCTCAGTATCAAGCAGGTAAAATGCTGCCTCTGCGGAAGGAGAGTGGGAGGGAGTGGGACCCCGTGTTTTGGGGGGCCCCAGGGCGTTCTGAAATACACCTCCTTCCCCACACTCGGCCTGGCCCAGAAGCAGGTGACTGGGCTTGTTTCCTTCTCTTTGAGGTGGTGTTTTGCTTTTTTTTATTATTATCATTGATTGTCACCATCCAGGAATGTTCAGACTTCTATAAATTTCAGAGACCGAAGCAATATCAATCAGTGTAAAAGGTTTTTCTTTAGAGGCTCAGAAAGTAGCTGTTTATGTCCACAGAGGTTGGAAGCAGCATATCAGGCAAATGAAATAGCATTTGGAGCACCAGTAACACGTAGGGGCCTTTCCCATGGCCATCTGGTTAGCACTTGGCATAAATCAGACCATTTATGTGTCATTATGTAGCTTTCTCATGGGGCTGGCGTGAGGGTACCTCCCCAGCCACAAAATACTTAGGACTCTGCTACCTGCCTTAACTTTTGATACCTTCATTGAAAAGAGGCATTTGGGCGATTAAGTGGGTAGGGGAGGTTTTGGGGACTCAGGAGAAAGATACTGAATTCAGCAAATATAAGTACTATCATAGGGTTCCCTGAGATAGAACGGCGAAAAGGGAATAGAAGGACAGAAAGAGGGTTGGTTGGGTGGGGAGACGGGTTATGGACAGGGACTAGGGAACAGAGGCAGGGTGAACACCGCCAGGACACGGCGTGCCGGTCAGTGTCGTGGCTCCCGGTGCCGGGCCCACTAGAGACTAGTGGTTGAAGTTAGGAATTCATGGTGGCACTGGCTGGGATCCCTGAATTCCCAGGTATCATCGGGCAACTAAGATTCTTGATCTTTTTAAGTGATCTTAAATGTTCCATTTCTTCATGGTGTATGGGTATGTGTTTATCATTTATTATGTTTGGTGACTCCGTGGCTGAGCTTACATGTGTGTAGGGTTGAGCATTAATGTTTTTCAGGATCTTATTTGCATTATCCTGTAGTAATCCAAGCTCAGCCTACAAAAGTTGTTCCTCATTATAAAGTGTAATTTGATGAACTTACTCATATCTTAATAGGACACACACTCTCTATGTAATGTGCTACTTGTGTCTGATGGTTAGAGATAAGCAGCCAGGGGACACAGGGTGTAGTTAATCCGTGGACATGGAGGATGTTTGAAAATTGACGTGATTTGACATGCACGTAGGCATTTGCTGGTCAGTTTACAGTGTTCTCCGTGATTAGATCATGATCGATTGTTTGGTATAGAGACATTTCGGCTGGTTGTTGATCCTATTCCAAGTTTCTTGGCAGCTGAGTTTTGATTTCTAAAAGCAACTGGCTCACCTCATATTTTTTATTAAGCAGCAAACCCCCTTTAAGAAATAATTTGTTCTTTTAAAATCCTACTACCAGGTAGGAGGTATATAGCCAATAAAAATAAGGAACGCTGGGTGTTAAGCCACCTCTGTTCTTTGGATACATACTGCCTTAGAGCCGGACTCGTGACGGGCGCCGGCCATGTGCGTGCTGGGGGATCCACGCAGGCCGGGTGCACGAAGGTTCTGCCTTCAGGTAGTTCACGGGCAGGTGGAGACAGACGTCAGGGAATCATCCAAATAAAAAAAGTGTTTAAATAAGACATAAAAAAGTAAAGGTTGTGATGAAAAAATATAGACCAGTCTGAGTTGTCTAGGGAAGGCCTTTCTAAGTAACATGACGCGTACGTGAAAATCTAAAGGATGACTAGGAATTGGGCACATGAAGAGTGGAGGAAAGAGATTTCTGGACAGAAGAGGCAGTGTTGGGGATGCCTGGAAGCCGAGGAAGGCTGGTCTGGGAGAAGATGACGGAGGGAGACTGAGGCAGGGCAGGGCGGGGCTGGGCCTGTGTGTAGCAGGTGCATCGGGAAGCCAGTGACACGTTTGAACTTGAGAATGACGTCATCAGGGTTGCTTTTGCATTTTTTAAAGTGTGAAGAGCAGATCAGAGCTGGGCAAGAGAGAATGGAAGGACAGTTGTGATTTGGATTAGTAAGAGATTAGTATAGGGATAGAGAACTGGACAGGTTTGAGGTAAGACAAAATAAGAGCCCAGAGGTGCTTACTGGATTTAGCAGGAACAATTTCAGTAGCGTGGTGGGGACAGAAACCAAATTAATATGATAACGTATTAACATGTTATATCAGAGCGTCTCTTGGTGACTGGGCTTGTGTCCTTGGTGTCTGTTATATTATTTCCTTTACTTGAATATTTGGAATATTTAAAATATTTCATGTCTTTAATTTTTTTTAAAAATGGGCAGTGAGTCAATTTATGCAGAGAGTTCTCTCCAGAAAAGTGCATTAGGAAGTACAATAGATATTAACATGTTATATCAGAGCGTCTCTTGGTGACTGGGCTTGTTTCCTTGGTGTCTGTTATATTATTTCCTTTACTTGAATATTTGGAATATTTAAAATATTTCATGTCTTTAATTTTTTTTAAAAATGGGCAGTGAGGGCAGTGAGTCAATTTATGCAGAGAGTTCTCTCCAGAAAAGTGCATTAGGAAGTACAATAGCTGTGGGGGAAGTGCTGTCAAGAGGGCTTTTATTTTCGGTCACATGAGTTGTTTTTAAATAATACTCATGCGTAGGAAATTGAGCAGAGCAGAAGGTGTCAGAGAAGAACGGGGCGGCCTCCTCCCCGCTGTCCCTCCTCCCCTCCCCACCAGAGGGGAACCCCAGTAAGTCGGTCTTTCTTTTACCAGCCCCGTAATGTTCCGTTGTACGGCTGTGCCTTAAGTTACCTCACAGGTCCCCTATGGACGGACACTTCAGTGCGTTTCAGTAGTTTTGTCTTTTAAGACATAAAGTTTCTTTTGAAGAGGCTGAAGGAAAGGCTGGTGTCGGAAAGAGGGGAGGACACAGATGGGGCCAACCCCGAGGAGACTCCTGAAAGAAGCCAAGGGAGGGAGAGACAGAGAGAGAGGGAGAGAGGGAAAGGGAGACACAGAGAGACAGAGAAAGAGAGAGACGGGGCAGGTGGACGAGGAGGCAGTGGCGGGAGGGGGAAGGACCTGTCATCTGATGTCCTCTGGTTCTCCCTCCTGCAAGGCAGGGCCACCTGCTAATGGCGGGGGCGGGGGTGAGGGGGATGTGAGAGCAGGGAAGACACACTGGCTGGAGCAGGAGAAGGATCTTGCCAGAACATGTCTTGACGTTGCTACTTTGTGTTTGAGTTGATGATCGTGAATTTAAACTGAAACCTGCCTGTCGTGTTGCATGATTTTTATCCCTGTCTCTTTTGGCTTTTAAAACTTGACACGTGTGTGAAGAATTTAAAACATGCTTGGTTTGTGAAAGTAGGCACAGTGTGGTCAGGTGTCATGAGGCTTCAGAGTAGAAGAGAGACTCGCGTCACGGTTGTCTCTCCTGGAGGAAGAGGGTTTACTGCCGGAGAGAGACGGGGATCCCTGCCCAAGAGGGTTTCCCGTCATTGCCAGGTGACACCCGCCCTTCCCCCCCATCACACACGAGTGAGCCGTGGCCTGAGGTTTCTGGCCCTCTCTGCGCTCCGCCGGATGGGTGAGGCGCTTACAGCTGAAACCGGCTTTAATCTTGTTGAGCCACTGGTTCTTGTACGACTTCGAAGGAGTTATTTAATTTCTCTCTTCATATTTGAGTTCCATTTCAAAATGTAAAATTTAGTGTCAGTTTGGAAGGTATATTGATCTTGGAGATATGGGTGTATAAGCTTTGGGATAAAATTCGCAAGATTTTCCATTCCTTCCACATTCTGCATTACCTAAGATGTCTGACTGGTTCCCCCCTCACCAGAGTGGTTTCATGTGTCTGTGCCTCATTCCGTATTTTTAACCCTTAGGAATGCCAGGAGGAATTGGCAGCGCATCCAAGAGCATTTCTTTTTTGCGACATTTCACCCACTTAAGGACTATTGTCTGGAGGTGAGCACAGAATGTCATTCGTAAATTCCCCGCGGTAACTTTAATCCCAGTGCTTCTTTTCTGCTGTAGTTGTTGAAGGGTTATGATTTGGTTAATTTTGTTTTTGACTTGCTTATAGATGTCACCATAAGATTTTAAAGCTCTAAGTTTAATTTTGTCACTTTATGCAGATAACTTGCTCACAGCTCACTCTAAGCAGTGAAAATTGGCCATTTTCATGTTCTGTTTCTCAGGCAGTGTCTGGCTTGTCAGCACTGGAAGGGAATATTTAATTCTAACAGAAATCTGTTATGACAATAAAAGGAAATGAGTGAGGACATTTGTGCAGGTGAGATTTTATTGTGCAGAAGCCCATTGTTAATGAAAAGAACAAAACATCTACTCTGCTGTTAATGGCATTTTTTAGGCTCTGGGTAAATGAAATTTGTATAGCAAATGATATACCACCTCATTGACTGTAACAGAATATGCTTATGTAATTCTAAGAACCATAAATGTGTTTATTATAATTAATTCATATGTAAATTATAATTTGTGTAAACCCTATTACATTCTCCCTCGTTCATAATTATAATGTGCTGCCTCTGAATTTAAAACATTTGACCTAAGACTTTTCCTCTAAAGAACTTCTAAGTATTAGTAACTTTAACTCCTGTGGATAAGCACTTTTTTTCTTAGATTAGTAATAAACTGGCCTTTAAGAAAATAAAAATCTCTATATTGTGAGATATGCATTAGAGAACATTAATGTGTATTTTCTGCTGCTTCACTGCCACTATTGTGTAGGATTTTTCAGATTTTTTAACCTGCTCTGCTCTGTTCTTTAGCGCCCAGAATGCTTTGTGTGACATCTTTCTGCAGGACTCCTTTATAACTCTAGTGTTAAGGGAACCCTTTTCTGTTGAGTCCTCCAGCAGGAGTAAGTCCTCTGCTTTCCTCTCTCCCTAATCTCTGCATTTCACTGCTTTCACTCTCATATATTTTATATATTTTATTGTCCATGAATGATATGAATCAGAACTATATGTGTAAATAAAATAATGGGAGCTAATGGCTCATAAGAACTGCATGTCTTATGATATTTGGAGCTGTACTTAGTACCCACTTAATAAACATTTAGTTGCAATCATTATGCCAGTTTAAATGTGCACAAATACAGCTAGCATGAAGAAAGCCGTGTTCGTCCTAAAAAATTTCATGCAGATGTTCATTGTTATAAATTCATTATTTCATTTCTAAATGCCTGTTACTTGGGCTTCTGCTTCTCATGCACCTTTTCACCGTTGATCATTTTCTGTTTCTCAGTTTTCTTTAGTAGGTGAGAAAAGGACAGGAGGGTTGCAGTGTAAGGACTGTTCACAGCGGATCATGCTGTGCAGCTCACAGCACACTTCCGCGTGCTGTTTAATCTGACTTTATCCTCACCTTACGAATGACGGGGTTGAAGCCAAGCAAGACTGAATGGCTTGCCGGGCATCACACAGATAATTATTCAGATTCTGAATTTATCTAATGGTAGCGGGAGTGAAAGGTTTGGTGTCAAAGGAGCTTGAACTTGATCGCTTATGGAGGTCGCTTATGGAGGTGTTTGATTATCAGTAAATTGCATTTATCCCTATGTTATCCATCATTTGTACTGATTAATTCTAAAACACTTTGTTTTTCTTAAGAGCACAGTGGTTTATTACATACAGTTAGAGGTGCTAGAGCAAAAGATCTGCCTGCTCTCAGGGATTTCCTAAATTAATCCCCGAATTTCTTAGAGAAGATGAGAAATGTATATAGACAATTGCCACAAGATATAAATGAAAGTACAGTATGTAATTTGGTCAGATATGATAGTTTGGGAGAATACATCAGTAATAATAATTAAGTTACACTTTAAACATGTTATCATTGTTATTTTTGAGGGAAAAATTTAGATTTTACAATTCTCTTTTCAGACCATATTTTACATCCTGCCACGCCTTTCAGGCCTCATTGAAGATGAATGGATCGCCATCAGTAAATTTGCCAAATACACTGACATTCCTTTAGATGCGGGATTTCAGTGGTACCTTTCTCAAACTCAACTTGGTGAACTAAAACCAGGTGACTGGTCTCAGCAGGACATAGGTAAGCAGAGTTTTTGTTTTATTTTTTTTTGCCTTATCAACTTGGTAAGGCTTATTGATTTAAGTTACTCAGGACACACGGTTGAGAATAATCACTTTCTCCTTGATGTGGGAACTCTGCTCAGAGAAAAGACAGTGAAAAAATGTGAGATAGCAGTGACTAGTACTTTTAGTTGAAAGTTAGCTTTTCTATAAAAAGCCAGAGAGAACCTAATCCGCTTTGTATAAAATGAGAAGCTTCTCTTCTTTTAAATGGCATTGGCCATTAATACTCATTGCTCTTCTGCTTTATATTTCTGTAAAAATGCAAACCTTCAAAAGGGCCAAATTTTGAAATCTCTGCTTTGTCCCTTGTAGGAAGAAAAGTGGAGCTCTTAGTTCTGGCTCTTGCTGGTCTGGGTGGCCGCCACTCGTGCTCTCTGTCCCTTCTCCCGCATCTCCCGCCTTCCTGACACTGATCCTGCCCTTCAGCTTTCTCTGGAACCCCCGTCCTCTCCACCTGTGGCCTGTGCCCCCTTCTCCTCCTTTCCTTCCCAGTCACGCTGCCCTGAAATACCTGGGCCCAATGTCCCTACCCCGTTCTTAAAACCACAGCTCTCCTGCTCGTAGGTGCATGTCAGTGGTCTGTGTTCCCTAACCCATGGTCACCACTGACACTTCTTTCAGAAAAACGGAAATTTTCTTTCGGTCTCCTTCCTTCCAGAATCGAAGTGGACGCTCTTCTCTCGTCACATCTGCCCTGCCTGTGGCTGGTCTCCTGCTGGCCTGACTTTCCTCCTGACCCTTCTCTCTCTTTTAGGAGTCCTCACTTGTCCCCTACATTTGTGGTCCTCTAAGCTTTTAACATTTTCAGGAATTGCTTGGACAATGTGTTAAGAGTACAGGTTCCGGGTGCCACCCTTAGACTTTTAACTCAGTGTCTCTGGAGGAGAGCTCTGGGAAAGCGCAGATTAATCAGGCACTGCAGATGGTCACAAAGGCTAAAACGTACCGCTTTTATTGTTGGCTCAGCAGAGGCTGGCTGGCCGCTGCCTGTGTGAGGCATGAGCCCGGGGCCCTGCCCCAGGCGCGCACGTGCTCACACAGGAGACACCCACAAACTTACAATACGATGTCAGGTACTAAAACGTGCCATGAAAACAAAATGAAGCAGGGGACAGAGCGACAGAGGGGAAACCTTCCTAAGGTGTGACGCAGGCAGGCTGGGGTCTGGGGATGTTTTCCTGGATGGAGAATGGCGAACGACACAGGCGGCTTCTTGGGTGGGCAGGTGGTGGCGGGGGAGGGGGACGACACAGGTAGGCAACTGCTGAGTCTGCCACAGAGCGGAGTGGAGAAACAGTGTCACCTGGGCAGCAGAAAGGCTGAAGAGCCTTTCTGTTGGTGATGTTTGCTTGTTTTTGGTAAAGACAGGTATATTGTGGTGGGGTTTCATGCTGAGCCCTCAGTGTTTGTAAGTGTCCCCTGAACGTTTCCAACGGCCTGGTCTCCTTACACAGCATGCTGTCCCTGACACCTGAAACCAGCACCTCCACGACTGTGAGCTTTCAGATCGCCACCTGTTGCCCAGCCCCCTTCCTGAGCCTACCGCACATCTGTGCCCAGAGACTCCATAAGCTCTTTAAATTTCCCAACGGAATCTGCTTTTCTGCCCAAACTTGCCTCCTTTACATACTCACACTCTCTGTGAATGGTGTCCCTTGGTCATCACAGAAATGGTTCTTTTAAGACAGACTTTTCTAAAGCACAACACTTGTACTGTTGTCCCCCTTCTGTAAAGTCTCCAGTGGCTCCCATCTGTAAAATGAATTTTTTATCCTTATGTACAGAGCCCTTGTGATGGGGGCCGAGCCTCTCCCTCCATCCATTGCATGCTGTGAGCTAAACCAAAGCACCTGCCGCAGCCTGAATCCTCTTTTTCTACAGCCCAGCACCTGCCCCTGCTCTTGCCAGAGTCTGCTCTGCAAACTCTGACCTCCCTTCACTCGAGCCTCTCTTCTCTCTCCCTCCCCGAGACATCAATAATTCCTTTCTGTGTGGGCATACCTCCTTCTTGTATTGTTAGAGATATTTGCATGTCTGTTCTCTCTAGTAAATTAAGTGCTCCTTGATAGCTCAGTGATCACTTTGGAGAACAGAGTTGAGGAAGGACCTCGAAGGAGGGTCTCAGCCCTGTACTGCAGAGGTCAAACACTGCAGTTAGGTTAATTACAGTCTGTATACTCATCAGGTAGTCAAGAGACAATGGCTTTATAGAAATATCCTTCATTTTAGAAAAGTTCCCCCAAGTACTTGTAAGATAATTTTAGAGATTTTATTTATGTGCTTTCAGGAATGCAATATTTCTACAGGAAACTCTAACCTACTATCCTATTATTTGTAAGACACAACAGTATTTAATGTACCTCCAAGAAAAAATGTGTTACCGAACTATATGCCACTCTGTTATTTTTAAAATGCCTCCCAGTTTCGGATATGCTAGAATGTGAAAAAATGTGCATCTTACATTTTCATGAAATTACTATTAAAAATGGCAATTGTGTCTGAATCCAAGTAAAGTTCTTTAGTTGATAATAGTTAAATAAATCTCATTCTAAACTATCATTTTAGACTTTGAAAAATACATATAAATGTGTAAATAAATATATAGACAGATTCAGATTTACTTTTACATATGGGATTATTTTCTTTTTCCTTCCAAGGTTCTAACTCAGGCAGAACAGATGACCAGTTAGAGTGGACTGATGTTCAGAAGAAAATCATCCCATGGAAAAATAACATTCTGGATTTAGACCAGGAGCTTATGTTTCAGGATCGTGCTGCCAAACTTGGAAAGTCAGTTAGTAGACTGATTGTCGTGGCCTCGCTCATTAATAAGCCAACAAATTTAGGAGGTAAAATTGTAGTTTTCCAGGGAGCTTGCTTCAAATACTTTGATCCTGAAAATTTTTAATCAATCCACAGCCATTTTTGGCTGTCCTTTCCACATTGAACCCTCGTTGGGAATAAAGGAGTACAGTGAGCTTAGCATTTGTTGGAAACAATCATAACAACTTCAGGTTGTTCTGTGTAGGACTGTGCCGGACCTGTGAGGTGTTTGGAGCTTCGGTGCTTGTTCTCGGCAACCTGCAGTGTGTCGGTGACAAACAGTTTCAGCACCTCAGTGTCTCCGCAGAGCAGTGGCTTCCTTTGCTGGAGGTGGGTGGAGAGTAATTTGTTACTAAAATTTTTCTTTGTGAAAATACTTTGTAGTGCTCTGTCTTCATGTATTACTGCTTTTTTTTTTTTTTGTCCTTTTTGAGACCGGTCGCACCGCGCTCAGCCAGTGAGCGCTGTGAGTGCACCCGTCATCCCTATATAGGATCCGAACCCGAGTGTGACACGGGGTCGGCCCCATGTATTACTGCTTTTATAGTAATTTATAGTAGTCCAGCCTTTAGTAGTTTAAAAATACTTAAAAGTAAAATACAGCCCACTTCTGTTCTCCTGTTCCTTTTCTTATATTCTACATTGTTATAGTTTTAGGAATCATCAGTAACGTAGAATTCTGTTCTGTTAAATGTGTCCTGCTACAGCTCACTCTCGATTCAGGAAAAATTTGTATAAATTTATGTGCTGTTGGGGGAGTTCTTTTTTAGTGTGTGTAAGTTGGTCCTTTTCCTGTTTAAAAAGACTTTTAGCAAGTTTAGTTTAAGTTTTTTTAACTCTCATTTTACTCCAAGTTGGGATACAAGTGAATGATTTAATATTCTACTCTTTTTGAATTCATATTAAGGTAAAACCTCCTCAGCTAATTGATTACCTACAACAGAAAAAAGCAGAAGGTTACACCATCATCGGAGTGGAACAAACCACCAAGAGTGTAGACCTAATCCAGTATCACTTTCCTGAGAAATCTCTACTCTTGTTGGGGTAAGCAAGTTCTTTTGTCTGTAGTACATTCTCTGAGCCCCGGCCTACAGTCTACCTAGGCCCCTGACAGCATGCCTACACTTTTCTTCTGTCTTTGAACGTTTATGGAAGGCCCCCCCGCCCCCCTGTTTTCCTTTTGTCCACCTGTCTGGGACGGTCAGGTGAACCCAGAATCAAAATCTTTTCATCTCTTTCAGTAGCATTCAGAATATCTAAGAAATTCTATCTAAATTGTTTATTACAAGAAAAATATCTTTTCTTACCCGTTTCTCTTCGTCAGAAATGAACGTGAAGGAATTCCAGCCAATCTGATCCAGCAGTTGGATGTCTGTGTGGAAATTCCCCAGCAGGGGATCATCCGCTCACTAAACGTTCATGTGAGTGGTGCTCTGCTGATCTGGGAATACACCCGGCAACAGCTGCTCGGGCACAGGGACTCCCGTCATGAAGTTTGTGCCTTATCTGAGATGAACTGTCAGTGCTAACGAGACTTTTTTTTTTTTAACTATTTAGACTAATGAATTGGTATTTCTTTTCTCTTACAATTTAATGCCAAAACAATTTCATGTGCCTTAAATACATTATTATATATTATCCCCTTTAATAAATGCTTTTAGCTAAATTGTATTGCTTCTTTAATCAGATGTTTAAGCAGTTGTGGAAATGAGCAGCTATTACCTATGAACTCCCTTACCCTCAAGTCAGGAGGAGCACGGTGAGGCTGAGGCCAGGGTCTGTGTGAGGAGGAGTCGCTGGGCTCTTCTGTTCCACGTTTGCTCATTCCTCAGGAGAAACGTGCTCGGTCAGGAAGCAGGCCACCATCATCTCTGTCACGTTCTTGTGCAGTGTTTCATAGACTGCTTTTGCACAGAGATCAGGTAGTGGTTAGAAACAATCTCTCTCTTGACCGCTATACACCTGAACCCAAAGGACTTGAATTACTCCTGTGTATGTTATCAAAACTGAGATTGAAACCTGGGTATTGATTTACTGTTTCTGTTCTTTTGACTTTTTTGTTTGATATTTAGATGACTTCATTATTTAATGGTAACCATTTATTAACATCCAGCAATGAAGTTCAGTTATGTCCAGATCCTTTTTAATATTTAAGTTTCAGAGTCCACTGCCCCTGCATATTTCCAGGAGCCAGTCCAGGATACGACACTGCGTTTAGTCACCATGTTCCTTTAGTCTTCTCCCATCTCTGACAGATTCTCAGTCTTTCCATGTCTTTCCTGACCTGGACACTTTCAAAGAGCCCTGGCCAGGTGTTTCGTATGTGTCCCATAATTTGGGTTTGTCTGGTGGTGTTTTCTCGTTTGACTAAGGCTAGGTTTTAGGGAGGAATACCACAGCAATGAGGCGCCTTCTTGTCGCATGTGTAGATGGCACCGCTATCAGCAGGCCTGCACCTCGATCGTTCGGTGGAGGAGGCATTTGCCACGTTCTTCTCTGAGTTGCAAACTTTCCCTTTCCACGGTCTGTAAACAGCAAATGTCACTAAGCCCAGCCCACACTCAAGGTAGGGAAAGTAAACTCCCTCTCGGAGGAGAAGTGTCAGAGAATCTGGGGTATCTGGTAAGACCACCACAGTAATTAACAGTTTGGGGGAGGTTCCTGGAGGCTGTGCACATACATTGCTTCTCCTGAACATCTGCCCACCCATTTTGGCATCCGTCAGTAGATACTGCCTGTGGCTGTCACCATGGCAGTGTTCTGATGGTGAAATTCTGCATTTCCCTCATTTCGTCTACATTTATTAGTTGGAATTCTGCCCTAAAGAAGACTTGTTCCTCATTCCATCATCTTTATATTTTTAGCACTTCCTTTTTTGGCACTACACAATGCCCCAGGTTCATTCCTACCTTAGTCTGGAATTGGACATTTCTCCAAGGAGCCACTTTTACTTCTTCCTTCCAAATCTGTGTGCTTTTTATTTCTCTTTGTCTTGTTGAACTAGCTAGGAATCCGGTCACTGTCTCATCATGAAGTATGATTTTAGCTGAAGGCAGGGTTTTTTTTATAGATGGCTTTTATTGTTTTATGTGTATATTTTAAGTTCAATCTTCCTCCTCCAACCTCATTTGTAGTTCCTGTATTAAAATGCTAACTCACAGGAACACTAAAAGGCAACTTACTTATTGCAATTTCTGTCTATGTCTATTATAAATATTTGCCTACAACCCAACCTCTAATGCAAAAATACAGGAAAAAAAAGCACCTTTTATGATTGACTTTAATTTTTTTTTAATATAGATTTCTTACTAAGTTAAAACTAATAAGCACATTTGATACCGTTTTATTTTGTTCTTCATAGCTTAAATGTTCCCTGATCTGTTACTTGATCATTTTAGTTATTAAGTGTTGTACCCAGGGAAGAAGTACTGATGACTCAGACCACTACTGCCCCGTATGCAAGGGAGCGTTTCTGAACATCCAGAAAGAACAGTCTCTTTGAAAAGTTCAGGAACAGCCTAGGATTTTGCAGTTGGTTTTGAAGGCTGGAATTCTCCTGCTTCAAATTTTTCTTTGAATTTTAAGTAGTCTCTTCTTTTATCAAAATATTTTATCTGTTGAGAAAAAAAGGTTTGAAATAAGGGCAAGTTATGCAGCTGAGATGAGCAAAAGCACAGATGTAAACGTAACAGGCTGTTCAGTGTGACCTGCACAAGTAGCTAAGTGATTGGTACTTCTGTTCTAGAACCACTTTGAATGGATCAGGGCATTGGAGAGTAAATCTCTGAGGAGGGCGACCCTTTTGGGTTACAGGTCCTGTTGAGAATCTGAATAGGCCAGGAACCTTCTCGAGAACAGACCCGTGCACACATGTGAGGCTTGTGGCAGGCTCAGAGTCCACAGAGCTCTCAGGACAGAAGACTTCAGATTTAAAGACCCTAGACCGGTTTTCTTTTCTCTCAGTTCAGTACATTTTGCAATTTATCAGCCATGACATTTTTATTATGTCTGTCTCATCCAGTAACATACATTTAAGGAGACAGACACATAGTTTAAAATTATATTTATGAACTATGCATAGGTAAATTGATGGTAAAATTTTGGTATACTAAAGACTTCATTTTAATATTTTTATTTATATCCTCCTCTGTCTATAGGGAATCTGAAGAATCTTGAAGCCCATATCCTGATATAGTAAAATCATAAAAATAGAAAATCAACACCAAGGAAAGCACACTTGTGCCAACCACAAAACTGTCACTGTGTCTGTGTCTGCACTGCTTTGCAGACAAGGAATAGGGAATCTGAAGAATCTTGAAGCCCATATCCTGATATAGTAAAATCATAAAAATAGAAAATCAACACCAAGGAAAACACACTTGTGCCAACCACAAAACTGTCACTGTGTCTGTGTCTGCACTGCTTTGCAGACAAGGCAAAGGCAGAACACCACCCATTTTCATCGTCAGACTGGAAAACACTGGTTCTTTTCTTAAAATCCTTTCTTAGGATTTACTTCTTTTATATTTCACAGTGGGGCTTGTAAGTAACAATTAGCTTGCACTGGGAATGCAAAAATCTGCCCTGCCCTGTATCAAGCTTGGGTTAACAACCACAGATAAAGGGAGCTGCAAAG